TCCTTAATAATACTTGGAATTTTACTGATTTTAGTTCTTGGTATATCATATGCAATTTTGTTCTACAAGGCTCCAAATAAACACCAAAATACTGTCCCACTTAGTGATAAAAGAACTGCCACTCCCTGTGTGCAGCACGACCTAAAAAAGATAAACCATGGGATAGGGTAGAATGAACCAATGTGCAAAACAGGCTGCACTGTCACATACACAAGGTTTCACAGGAAACACAAGGAAAGTATTTACTTGCAACATTAACATTCTAAGGATACTGCTCCTGGCTCCTCTCCCTTTTAAAATTCAGATGTCACAATTAACCCATGTACCAACATCAATATTGTTCCATCTCAAAAGACCTGGGAGAAATAATTTTCAGATCGTATATGGTCTCCCTTTGCTGCCGAATCTTGTTCACCCTCCTCTATTTAGCTGAGTACTGCTCTGAAAACCCAACCCAGTGACCCCTTCCTGCCCCACCCCCAACTTCCTCTTATCTTCTGCTTTGGACCTTGTCACCCTCCTCTATTTAGCTGAGTACTGCTCTGAAAACCCAACCCAGTGACCCCTTCCTGCCCCACCCCCAACTTCCTCTTATCTTCTGCTTTGGACCTTGTCACCCTCCTCTATTTAGCTGAGTACTGCTCTGAAAACCCAACCCAGTGACCCCTTCCTGCCCCACCCCCAGCTTCTTACCTTCTGCTTTGCACCTTGTCATACATCAGTTTATCTTTCAACATACAATAATGGCATCTTATGAGCAACTTGAGAGGTTCTCTATTTTCATTTCTTCATATTCCCCACAGTTCTGTGTATATATTAAGCTCTTAGTGGTTACCACTAATAGCCAAAATGCTGTTTGGGAAATCAAACATTAGAAATGGATTAAGATCAGTTAATATGTGGCTCAGATAGTAAAGAATCTGTGGGAGACCCAAGTTGGATCCCTGGGTTGGGAAGATCCCCTGGAGAAGGGAATGCTACCCATTTCAGTATTCTTGCCTGGAGAATTCCATGGACAGAGGACCCTGGCAGGCTATAGTCCATGGGGTTGCAGAGTTGGACACAACTGAGAAATTAACACTTTCACTTTCTTTTCAATCATTTTACTTTCTATTTTAGGTATAATACATATTCATTCTTGAAATATGAAAAATAAATCATAAAGGATTAAAATTACTCAATTCTACTATTCAGAAATACCACTTTCTACATTTTTATCCCTTTTCTTCTTTTTATATACCTCTTGCCATTATTTAAAACAAAATTTGGAAAAAAAACAGGAAAACAAAATTTGAATCCTCTACATATAGAATCAAGTGTTTGTTTTTCCATTTAATAGAAGTATAAAGTTTTCTCCACATCATTAAGTAAATTATGGTATATCTAGATATTTTACAAATATTAAAATGATGTCTTATAACAGCACTTCCCGCATTTTCATGAGCATACAAATCACTTGGGATATTGTAAAAATACAGGTTCCGGTTCAGTAGGTCTGAGATGGGTTCCAAGAGTCTGCATTCCTAACAACCTCCCAGAAGATGCTGATCCTGCTAGTCTGTGGACCACATTCTGAGTAGCAAGGGCTTAGAAGATATATATTCCATTAATGAGGAACACTTAAGTACTTCCTGGTGTTAGGCTATAAGCAGTAAAATATGAAATCAATGGAGTGGTAAGAATCCTTACATACAGTGTGGGAATAATACAAATATTTATCATGTGTATACTAAGGGTGCATAAGTCACAAAGATAATTAAAAATCTAACTCCTAGTCAATGTCAATAGGTATCAATGGTTTCAAGATAATAGAGCATTCCATAGTGGTAGAAAGCCTGTCACTGGTTTCCAGGGAACGAAAGGAAAGGCAAAAAGGGAGGAAACTTTCAGGGATGGTGGATGTTCACTACCTTGATTGTGGTGGTATTTTCTGGACATTTTATATATATGTGAAATCTGTTAAAACAACAGATTGGGCACTTTAAATATATGCAGTTTGCTGTTTGTCAATTATACTTCCATAAAGCTATTTTTTAAAGTATAGGGGGAAAGTCACAAAATGCATTCCAGAAAGGTGGTATTAATTTACATTCTACCAGCAGCATATGCAAGTGCCTGCCTCATTACCTGTCAGCACTATGATTCTTAAAGGAAAAAAACACACAGTGCTAATTTAGAAAGGCAAAACCTCTCGTTTGTTTGAATGTGTATGTCTCTGATTACTAACAGACTGAAATTTTTTTATGTTGATCAGCTCCTCACTCATTTTTCTTTTGTAATGTGTATCTTATCAAACTATAGGAGCTCTTTACTTAGATACGTGTCATAAATATATCACCTATTATTTTTCTGACTAGATGTTTACATTTGTGTGACGCAACACAAATGGACATATTAAAAAAGTTTAAGAATCAAAAAAATAAAGTAAAAACAAAAGCCAATGCTAACACTGCTCAAAACACAACCAAAAAAAAGGTCAGTCAGGACTCAAAATTAAACATTAAAAAAAAAAATCAGTCTTTTACATCTATTTCTTTCACAAGGTGGCTGACTTATTAGCATAAGACTGCATCAGAAGCAAGCCATATACATAAATGTATCCAACTTTATATCTTTCATATCCACTCTTTCAGTTTGTTAATAAAGTAGGTTACTTTATCCTCTTTAGAGTTTGGAACTAAAATATTAACATATTTTGTGATTTAATCAGGAAGAGTCAGAATTTAGATTTATAAACTCCCATCTTTTATTTATTGATCCTAATTGTGTGAGAAATGGGTCCATGAAATCAAATGAGTTAAGTGGTTTTCGTTTTCAATCAACTGAATAAATACCAGAAAAGGAAAATATTTATATATTTTCCTGGAGTGGAGAGTAAATCTTAATCCTGGGAAGACTTATGTACTATTAAATTGTTTTCCTTCCCTCTACACCTTCAGTCTCACAAGATTTTTTCTAGACTATACAGCAATGAAGAATGCTAATACTAGTAATACCAGTGAAAGAGGAATGCTAGTTCCTCCAAAGAATCCATAAATTTGTCCAATCCTTTGAAAATGAGTCATAATTAGCCATTAGAGAAAACTTACATATGTATTTACTATTTAAAGAATGAAAATTTTAGTTCCCTAATAGAGTATTTTCAACTCTTGTTCTGAAGCTTATAAGATTAAATCATTTGGTCAAGTACATAAAACTAGACGATGTCCAATCTGGAATAAAAGTCCAGATTTCCTGATACACAAGCCGCAGAGCAGCAAAAAAGGAAATAACGTGGAAATCAATGATGTGGCTGAAACTCCAGAAAAATCAAATTCTTGAACCTTTACTTCCTCATCCATAAAATGAGGGAGGTGGATTAAATGATTGATGTATTTCCTTTCAGCTCTAACCTTTTCTAAATGCAGGGAGGATAAGCTGATAAAACCTGTGACAGATGCAGTCATATTGCTAGAGGTTTTTTATTGCCAACTTGGGGTTTCTCAACTACTTTTCTTGTAAGTCCGTATGAGCTCAGGTTCAAATTCCAGCCCCATCCTATTTATATAGCCTTTATAAATAATTTATCCTCTTATTAGATAAGAGGAAATAAGGGTCCCAAGGAAATGGGAACCCACTCCAGTACTATTGCCTGGAAAATCCCATGGACAGAGGAGCCTGGTAGGCTACAGTCCATGGGGTCGCAAAGAGTCGGACACAACTGAGCGACTTTACACGTGAAGCAGTTAAGATAATGGACAATATACCCAAATACTTAGCAGCGCCCAGCAGAGAGTAAGATGTTCAGTAATTGCACGTCTGTGTATTTGGGGTATGTCAGTCCATCTCAGCTGACATTAACAGAATGCCATAGACTAAGTAGCTTATAAACAACAGAAATTTATTTCTCACAAATAACTGTGGGAGAGGTTTGGAAGTCCAAGATCAAGGCTTTGGCAGATTCTGTGTCTGGTGAGGGCCCCTTTCCTGGTTCACAGATGGTCATCTTCTCACTGACTTCACAAGGAAAAGTGATAGGGAGCTCTCTGAGGCCTCTTTCAGAAGAGAACTAATTCAATTCATGAGACCTCCACCCTCATGATCTAGCCATCTCCCAAAGCTCTACCTCCAAATACTATCACACTGGGGGTTAGGTTTCAATAAATGAATGTCAGGGATGGTGAGAGGGTGGGGCCTCACCACACACTCACCTCACATTCAGGCTTTTGCATGGGGGTAAAATAATACCAACAGACACATGGTAAAACCTGCTATACCAGCAAGTCAAATATTAGACAGGCACATGACAAACATGAACAAGTATTTCCACAAAAGAATTACACACATAACTGAAAAACAGCCCCCAAGTCTGGCTCACAAGAGTTCAGCTATATATATTTAGCTTAAAAGACTTTGTGAAATGGTGAACACAGTGGGGAAGAGTGAGAAAGGAATGACCTCAAAAAAGAGGTAACCCACAGCCTATCAATCTTAAGGAATTTGGACTCCTTGCCATCTCTGTTTTATCTCATCTCTGTTTCTGTTAGTTTGGTCCACAAACTACTTCCACCTAGAATGCTTGTTACAACTGTAGATGCCCGATACTCACTCATTTTTAACACGCTACCTCCTTAATTTTTATACATTTTTAACTTGAGAACCTAGTCCAATTGCTTTGTGGCCAGTGCTTGAAAATGTTGTCCACAACTGAGTCCTAAAATAGCTTAGATTCCAAGCTGAGGACTGCCCACACCAAATTATCTGCAACCCATCACAACTAAGACATCAGTTTTTAATGCATCAAAGCTAATGAGAAACAGTAAAATCTACAACTCATGAATCTGTAGGGTATCTGCGTACTGGAAAGAATAGGTACTATTATAAAGATGACCCTTCTGGAATTTTCTCAGCATATTCTAAAGTGCCAGTAACAACATTTCTCTCATTCTTAACACTAATTTTAACAGTGAACTGAAATAACACTTTGTATTATGGTGAACAGTCACGTAAATTACATCAACTGAATTATAGTATTTATTAAAGTTATTTTTACAAATTCAGGTCTCAAAACATTAAAAGGTTGCTTTTTACTTTAACATGTGCTTTGCAAATGTGTATCAGCAGCAGACAGTGCTTTGGGTGAATAGATTTTAGTCTTCAAAAATGCGACAGCATCCTTCATCTGTAGTTTTTCCACCTCCCAATTATTGACCTTACCAAAGAAAGAGGAAAATAATCAGTTTGCAAGAAGATGATGACATATAAAATAAAAGCTAGTTTTGACACCCAAGGATATTAAAATAACATCAAGCCAACCACTTACAATTTATGCACATTTTAAAAAGTTTAGTTATGACTATATATACTAGGGTTGAAGAAAGCTCTCACAGTGAAAATTACAAAAAACTTTAAAGGTCCTCTAAAGGGTGCAAACATTTCTTTTTTGGGACAATCTTCCTTAGAATATACATAATAGCCAAAATGAAAAAAAAGTGTTACAGATTAGCTCATTAGAGAAAAGGGCCATCTTAACCTTGATGATCCAGGCATGATCCAGTTTTAGATACTAAAGTATCATAATGAAGATTCAAATGTTTACATTTCACATTATATGCAGGACCAAATGACTGGCATTTACATCGATCCTAACATTAATATAAATTTATTTGTATGGTCCTCACTCCATACAGATACCTTGAGGCTGCTCAAGTTGTAGTGTTCAGAATCAAATGAAGCACAAAGAGGGAAGAACTATCCTTCTAAAACCCTCCAGCATTTTCTAGTGAGAAATATCCTTAATGGCCTCACACTGACCCATGAAAACAAAGCTTTCATCAACATCTTTTCTTCTCCTATTTAAGATAACCTAGAAACTAAATATGGTTTCATGTTCTTAAATAGGAAAATATATTACTTACATTTTTCCACTTAACAAAAAAGATAAAATTATCAAACCCCTAGTAATCAACTGAGCAGGAACCAAATCATGTACCAGAAATCTTTTTCAAAGAAAACAATAAGCAAAACACTTATTAAAATACTGCTGGCAGTTCTTCTAGTCCTAGTAACCAACTTCAACCATAACATTCCTGGCAAAATGAACATCAGTAATTGAAGATGATTTCATTTGCAATTTTTCTTACCAAGATTACATGAAAACCCATTATTTTCAAATGCCGCATTTTCATAGCAAGGTATCCTTTGGGGTGGGTTGAATCCAAACAGTAAGCAGATTTAGGAACACAGAGTACAGCTACTCTGAAAACAAAAATACAAACTAGTTACTAATGAGATGACTGTGTACAACCTTGCCGTATGCTTGTTCTTTGGAGATTTCAAAGCTGACCCCTCCACTGACCACATTTCTCACCGTTCCCTCCTGTACAAGCCCTTCACTTCCTTATTACCTGGCCTGTGCAGACATTCCAGTATGTGAAGGCCACTTAGGAACCAAAAGCTTATAAAGATGTTTTATACAAACAGTATCTCTTAACCATCTTTAAGAATGGCTACATTCTTCATGAGGAAAATTTTCAGATATGAAAGCACCCAAATGCTTTCTTATATAGAGGCAATCGCTGATCTAAATATAATTATTTATGCCACTAGAAGTATTGGTGTAGATAACACTAAATGGAAAATGCTCTATTTGTACATATTGTCTCCCCAAGAGAGAAGCATTTAAAAACCAGGATGGGGAGACCAAAAACAAAGAAGAGATAGACAAGACTGTTGAAAAGATAATATCTGTATGTGTAAAAAACACTGAAGGTGTAATTTTTTTCATTGTTCACAGCCTTTTGGAAAGATTAAGTTCATTGGGGGAAAAAGACATTTGTATCCTTACTGTCTCCTGTGATACTACTCTGGCTGTTATCTGAGATAAAGAGAAAGAAATTTTATATCTTTAAAGGAACACTGATTTCTCATTTCTTCTCAGTACTTTAGGCTGAGAGCTATTACATTATATTATTATGCCAGAACAGCTGAATTCCAGAAAAAGAAAAATGATCTTTCAATGAGGCCAGAAAGAAAGGCTTTTCTTAAGGGGAGGTAGGCACTACGTATAGGGAAGACAGTGGCTGAAAAGATGGCCAAGGGGCAATCTGGACGGATTTGGAAAGGCGCAAAAGCCACAGAGCTCCATGTGAGTGGGAAGTGATGGGCAGATAAGAGTCTGAATCCCTGCAGACTTTTTTCTGTACCTCTCTCTATGTATTTATGTCCTACAAAGCAGTAGGGGATGTAAGCCGCCTGGGGTCAGGACCCACGCCTGACTCAGCTGTGTGCGGCCTGTGGGCCCTCGCAGAGCCACTCCGCAAAGGCTGACTGAACGCAGGGTGTGGACACAGGGTGTGTGCAACACGACCCGACCCAGCTGCTTACAGGGCAGAACATGCTCTCGGGGAGCAGCATCAGCTTACCCCAGAGACACCTTCTGCACTGCGGGAGTCAAGGCAACTGCTTCTAACTAACCTCAGTATGATTTGATCCAGATACAATATACCTTAATTAAAAAAATAAAGTTTTTCTACCTTTTGAAAGGTTTGACCAGTAAAACAAAATATTTATACTGGGTATTTTATTTGGGTAGAAGTCTTAATTCTTTAGGTTCACTATTGCATTATGTTGTCAAAAATTCACACTGCGCTGATGGTTTCAATTATGTCAAATGTTGTTTGAGTGCACTGTTTAGCCTTAACTCCTAATTTTTAAAAATTGCCTGTTTCATTAAATGGCCAACTCCAACCCACAGTCTTCAACCACAGAGCCTACATGTATACCTAAGGAGTAGACTAATGGATGAGAAGTCCCTAGGTGCATAACAAGCTCCACACAAATAGAAAGTCTTTGTATTGTTACTGCTATTTAATATGAAGTCTTTGAGAATTAAGATTTAAATACAGAGAGCTCAGCAAATGAGTGTGTGTAAACAACCTCTGAATATCTGCAGAAGTCACCACATCCACATCGGAAAATGGGAGCACTTGGCTCCGGTCATTATCCATTCTGATTTCAAAATCTGGAAGAAAAAAAAAATTAATACTAATTTTTCAAACATTGCTCAGTGACTTTTTTTGTTTGAAAATCACTACTACTCCTACCAATAATGGCAACGGCAAGAGCGAAGCTGTGCTGAGCTCACTTACGTGTGCCGGACACTAGTCTGGGTGTGACCTGTACGGTCTCATCTGCAGGTCACAGGAACCCTGTGAGGTGGGCAGTGCCATGACCGCCATTTGACACGTAAGGAAAGAGGCTGGCGAGTGCTGAGAGCAGGCACTCGGAAGCCGGGAGTGAACATCCACACCCAGCTAGAGCCGCTCCAGGGCCAGTGCTGCCCCACACAAGCTGCCGCAGCAAACCCCGAACCTTTTGTCAGAAAAAAAGAAATACGAAGTCAGACAGAAGCTCATATAAAGTCCCGTACCGATAAAATAATTGTGCGGCAACCGTACACTTGGAGAGAAGCGTCCTTCTCCCAGAAGGTCACGCAGTGCTTCGGCAACCTTTGGCTGAGGACATGAGGGTGCGGGGGACAACCGCGGCAGCGCCAAGTCCAGGTCCTCGTGACAAGGAGCGTCATCGAGCTTTAGACAAGCAGCCACGACGTGCAGCCTGTGAGCATTCCTCTCCACGTCACCTAAAAAATGTAGTTAAGAAAAATATTAATGTCACATTAGAGAAACTGCATTAATGTACCTGTAATTCTGATTATTTGCTTCTTCTCAGGAGGGATTTCTCTGTGCCCCCCAAGTTCCCACAGTGTGTAGATCTGTGCCTGTACCTGATAAGGTTTTACGGTTTAAAATACCTTTCAAGGTGCTTTAGCCTCACTCTTCACTGAACTGATAGGGAAATGCTCAAGAATGGTAAAATTAGCCTCCTGATTAAAGGCAAAGTTGGAACTAGAATTCAAGTCTCCTGGGTTCACGGCTGCTTCCCCTACATTAGACTGCTTGAAAAATCAGCACATAGTGTTCCTCTTCCACACTTCAACTCTGAAATTTCATTCCATTGTTTTTAAAAGGATTTCAAATAACCCTGTTTCCCAGATAGGGGCTTCCCAGGTGGCGCAATGGTAAAGAATCCACCTGCCGATGCAGGAGACCCAAGAGATTTGTGTTCGATCCCTGAGTCGGGAAGATCCCCCGGAGCAGGATATAGCAAACCACTCCAGTATTCTTGTCTGGAGAATTCCATGGACAGAGGAGCCTGGCAGGCTACAGTCCACGGGGTCGCAAAGGAGTCAGACACGATGAAGCAAATGAACATGGGCATAAGCCTGATACTGTTTTCCCCTTTTTTTTAAAGAAGAAGAATATTTATTTATTTATTTGGCTGTACCGGGTTTCAGTTGCCGCGTGTGGGATCTAGTTCCCTGACCAGGGATCAAACCCAGGCCCCCTGCACTGGGGACGTGGAGTCTTAACCACTGAACCACCAGGGAAGTCCCTGCTTTTCCTTCTTTAATAGTAAAAACCAAAAGTAAACAGTTAATTTTGGTTCCAAGAGTAAATAAATTCATTATTTTGGTAACCATTTGGTTTTTTAATCTAATGGCTGTGCCCTCATTACAGACCATGAGTAGCAAAGCTTTATAGCTGCAAAAGTTGACTTAACTTGGCTTCAAATGAGACATGTAAAAATTAGAAGTATAAACACCTCTGCATAAAGAGCAACTTGAACATTTAGTCTTTGTATAGGTGCATAAAGTATAAATAAAAAAAACAATGACGATGTGTTTCTTACTCCTGCTGTCTATGTGCAGGGTCTGTCATTAAAGGAGGCTCCACAGGGACTTCCCTCAAAGCTCAGATTCTTTACCAGAATCCGCCTGGATTGCAGGAGACCCTGGTTTGATTTCTGGGTTGGGAAGACCCACTGGAGAAGGGCAAGGCTACCCACTCCAGTATTCCTGGGCTTCCCTGGTGGCTCAGCTGGTAAAGCTGCAATGCAGGAGACCTGGGTTCGATCCCTGGGTCAGGAAGATCCCCTGGAGAAGAGGAAGGCTACCCACTCCAATATTCTGGCCTGGAGAATTCCATGGACAGAGGAGCCTGGAATTCCATGGACAGAGGAGCCATGTGTCCATGGGGTCACAAAGAGTAGGACACAACTGAGTGACTTTCACTTCACTTTACTTTACAGGTTTGCTGGTTTAAAGCATGGCCCTTTGACTTCACCATCTTTGGTCCTTTCATCGGGAGCACCTGCTCCAGAAGGTTTAGCTGATACTGCTGCAGCCGAGCCCCTATTCAGAATCACCGGGTAGCCTGGCAGCACTGTCTTATTTCAGTCACACCGCGCACTGACATCCTACCTGACGTCAGCAGATCATCAATGACGTCCTTTTGAAGAAGCTGATTAATGAGGGCCAGGGGAAAATGGTTCATCCAGCAAAATGAACACACTGCATTTAACAGGTTTTCAGAAGATATGTGGTGAAGACTACCAGTCAGAGCACTGGCCATAACTCCTAGGAACCTAGAGGGACAGAAAGGAAACTTGGCTTCCAAATATGAAGAGAAGACGAGATCATGATAGAGCTAGCGAGGTGTCACAGAACCAATGGCTTTCAGTGGATAAAACCATCAGTGCAAACCACCTTGCGTTTGCACTAGGTCTTCACACATCTTTCAGGTCAGCTGACTCTCATAACAGATATATACACTCAATAAATGTTAGCTGCCATGGTATGTCTTACACAGGGCAAATATTTATAGGCTTTAACTCGTGTAATTCCCATTCAGACTCTATGAGATAGGTGTCATTATTGTCTTCATAATAAAAATGGGTATACGTGTCATTATTGTCCTCATAATAAAAATGGGTAAATAGGCTCAGTAAGGTCGAGTAACTCATCCAAGGGCACACAGCCAGGAAGCAGCAGGGACAGCCCTGAAATCCAAGCTGTTATGGTCCAGAGCCTTTTAACCACTGTGCTAGGCTTTTATCCTTGAGTAAATCTACAAGGCCTGGAATGCCACTACAGGTTTATAACCTATTAAAATTCTGTTGCTATTAATGCTCTGAGCTGAAAGAACCATAAGCCTAATCATACCACTTCAGCTAAGGTTATGCAGGATAACAAAGCAGGTGAGCACAGATAAAGAGAAGGGAGATCAAGGTTAGTTGAGGCCATGGGCCCAGTGTGACACTGCTAATAAAGGGCCCAGACGCACTTTGAACCCAGGTCAGTTTGACTCTTAGGGCCTAAGTTATATTTCATTATACCAGAAAAAAAAAAGGAGTGCATGCAAAGTACTGTGATAGTGTACAGAAAAGAATGTAGATAGGGTGGCTTTGGAGATAAGGAGAATTTCAGTAAGTAGAAAAGATGGCAAAAGCAAAGACCACTTGAGACTAAGCACAGAAATGGGCGCCCTGACAATGTATCCTGTTCAGGCTGTGGCAAGTGACCAGTGAGGCACAGGCAGGGACCCACAACAGCAGAGCAAGTGTGCCCGGGAGTAAGCCCTTAGTAACAGTCAGGCATAAAGGGAAACATCTGAGGCCGACTGGGTGAGCCCGCGGGGGGAGGGGATGGGTGACGAGAACGGCTGTGGCAGGTCCTCAGCCGACAGTGGGGGAAAGGCGAGACCGACGGGAGTCTGGAGGAGGCAGCCGGGAAGGGCTGACCCGGAGCCCGAGGGGTCATCACCTCTCCCACTCCTGCCGCACTTCATCTTCCGCAACAGCACAATCTGTGTCACTCCCGGCACGTGCTCCGCTGTTTCTTTCCCTCCTGACGTGAATATAGAGTCCTTTCTACACCGGATGCTCTTTCCATGTCTAACTCCTATGCATCCATCTTTTAAGATCTGCTCAGGTACCATCTCCTCTAGGGAGGATGCTTGACATCCACCCTGACCGTCTACTTCACCAGGCTAGCATCCTGGCACATTCCTCCTCTATCCCTAGGTAACCTGTACAGAACTCTGCCACTTCCATGTTCGTGTTATATTTAATTGCCAACTGATGTCCACATTACCCATTACACAGAATCTTCTGGCAAAACAGGATTATGTCTTACTCACTTTTGTCTGAAGGACCTGAGCACCTGGTACAAGTGTTCTGACTAAATGAACAAACACAATCAGAAGAGGCAGAGGAGAATGTTACTGGAAAAGGAGGAGTCAAGAATAACATTGAGCTAAAAATTCAGCAAGTTGTAAACGGTGAACGTGCACAGCTCTTTACATGCTGTTAACTCATACCTCAATAAAGAGCAGCAGGAAACGGCAACCCACTGCAGCACTCTTGCCTGGAGAATCCCAGACAGAAGGGCCCACGGGTCATAAAGGGTCGGGCACGACTGAGCGACCACACAAGCGGACAACGTGGTTTAAAAAGACCCACTTGACATGGTACTTGACAAACAGTAAACAAACAAACAAACAAACAGAAAACCACGAATGCACTGGTTCCAGAGTTATTGAAGCTGAGACCCTGCGGGAGCTCCGGTGACCATACACAGCCTGGAGCCCAGGAGCACACTAATGGCCAGAGATGCAAGCTGGGATTATCTACAGGGTGGCAAGCACAGATCCAAAAGAGAAGAAACCAAAGCACTGGGACGACAGAGTTGAAATGTTAAACGTTTCCTTCCTGGGGCTTCAAACCCAGAAAGATATTCTAGAGTTAACAGATTCTCTTTACCAGAGGCCATAACATAAATAAAATGATTAAGGAACAGCATGTGGATATACAAAGTGCTAAGTCAATAAATTTTCTACAACTCTCCTACCTAATCTTCCAATCAACTCACTTTCCAAATGCTTCACGTTACTGCTCCTAAAACCTCTGCCATTCCACCCTAGGAGGCCATCTTCCTTCCTCCTTCCTCCATAAAGCACTCATTTGGTGCCTATCATATTGCCTTCCTCTCAATATACATGACTGCCTCCTCCTCTATCCTAAGAAGGATAGAGAACACAAACTTCTTTATTTATAGTCCGCAAAATACCAACTTCAGGCAACTGCACATTCATGGACATTCCGGAATGTCTTATCGATTAACCTCATTCTATTAGCTACTCTTATCACCCCTACTTCTCCAAAGGAGAACTGCTGAGGTAGGAGTGGAGGGCTAGACCGCCGCTCCTCAGTCTCAGCTCGGCTGACAATCTGGCCTGGGTGAGTCTTCCCTGCAGTGCTGTCATATGCACAGTAGGATGTTGGCAGCATCCCCAGCCTGCACCCACCAGAGACTGGACAACAGCCCTCTCCCCCCACCTCCCCAACCACACAAAAACTAACGTCCCCAGGTACTGCCCAACGTCCCCTAGGAAGCAAAATCACTGCCAGTTGAGAACCAATGAGTCAGATGGAAGCAGAACAGACAGACAAGCACCACATTCATGACTCCCCCTCAGTATGACTGTTCCCAGGTGTGTTTTGTCGAATTTCCTAACCTGTGCGTAGCTACTTAGGGTTACCTTTGTTATCCATCCTCTATTTCCAACATAACAAGTTTACTGGACCAGATTACCTCCTGGGACACCTACAGTCAGCTGAAAAACTCCCTAACTACTCAGGGTTTGTTCTCTGAATTCTATGGCATCCATGGGGCTGTTTCTGCAGCTTAATAGTGCTACTTACTCCAGTATTCCTGCCTGGAGAATCCCATGGACAGAGGAGCCTGGTAGGCTGCAATCCATGGGGTCGCAAAGAGTCGGACACGACTGAGCGACTAACAGTGTCACACTTTTCACCTTCACATCTTAACAGTATTTGTCAAGAAGGGGCAGGAGGCACATAGGGGCCAGCTTCATAATAAAACCAAGAGTGGGTAGTAGAGGAAGGCTGAATTTGGGGAGAATCTTTTCAACCTTTATTTTATGTTTATCCTGTGCCAGGCTCTGTGCTACGTTAGAAACACAGGCACCTGGGTCTGACGCTAGAAGGCTCTGCAGTTGTGGAGAGAGGTTTATTGACAAATAACTGCAGCTATGTGTCAAAGTTCCACCGGAGATTTATATAAGACACGACAAACATAGGAGCTCTGATGGAGACATAAGGGAAAGCACAGGACACGTATAGGAAGCGAGTCCTTTTGGAACAATGTGGGGTTCAGTGGGCAGCTGCTTTTCTTGGCCCAACATTTCTTTGATCACCAAAGCCAAAGAAACGGGCATGTGACCCAAACTCGGTCAATCAGATTTTCTCTTCTGGAAATCTGGATCTTGAGGAAAAAAACCAGAGGGACAAAAAGCTGATAGAGCCAAGCTGGGCATGCATGCTCAGTTGCTCAGCCATGTCCAACTCTTTGCAACCCCATGGACTGTAGCTCTCCAGGCTCCTCTGTCCATGGGATTCTCCAGGCAAGAATACTAAAGCAGGTGGCCATTTCCTACTCCAGGGGATTTTCCCAACTCAGGAATCAAACCCGTGTCTCTTGCGTCTCCTGCATTGGCAGGTGGATTCTTAACCACTGCATAACCTGGGAGCCAAGCCACTTGGTGGCAAAGAAATGGCCTGTGAACCCTGCCACTGAGACCCTCAGAACTGCCACAGTTTATTCCGCCAAGGCCTCTGTGGCCTATAATCTATTTTTTTTAATCTAATAATTACTGTGTGTCAGGCACTGCCTTAAGATTCTGACACAGGTTAACTCACTTAGTCCTTATAACAATGATTATTAAATTGTCCAGTATGGTTAGAAATAAGTCATTATTCATCCCTATTTTAACAAATGAAGAAACTGAGGTACAGGTAAGTAATTTGCCAAAGTTAAGTAGATAATGAATGGCAGAGCTAAGATTCAAACCTAAGCAAGATGTCTCCTGGGTCTGCACTTTTAATCACTCTTCTAACAAATGACATGTTATATACGTTTCTGGTTTTTAAAGAACCCTTAACTGATCTAGAGAATAAGGAAAGATGTTCTGGGTGGAAACAAGACGTCTGAAAGAGCCTGGGACGTCCAAGGAATTGCTGTGTTTATTAGTAGAAATGTATGATTGGAGTTAAAATGAAAAGAACAGAAAGCGGTAGTTTGGGACCAGATAAAGAGCTAGGGTCAAATGAACTATAAACTAGGGCGCTAAGGGGAATAAGTTGGGCAAAAGTTTGAAACGAAGTCTCCCACACTGAATTATCAAATACACTGCAAAGAACAACAACAACAAAAAAAGCAAAAGCAAAGCATGTATCTTTACCAAAGATAAAATTGCTTAACTTCATAAATAAAGAATATTATGTTTTATTTCTAGACATGGATGGGTTTGCTTATAAGAATTCACTGAGCTTTGTAATCTTTTATATAAATATGATATACGGCAATACAAAAAATAATATGGAACAAGTACATACTCGTGGGTCTGGCATTTGTAGAAGTGATTGAGAGAAGAATATACATTAAGAATACAGACAAGGCTTTTCACATTTAAGAAGCCAGATTCATCTGCTGCTTTCTTTATAAACAAGTCCATCAAACCAACAGGTCGAAAGCCAAAGTTTTCAAATAAAATGAGGAGAAAAAGAACCTAAGAAAAAAAAAAGAATTGAGGGAAAACTTCTTAAGAATTACAGTATGTTATCAGCAATCTTTCCAATCTCAAAGTTTAAATAGCAACAAAATTGTCCTGATTGAAAAATATTCCCTTAAAAGGAATAATTATCTTTCCCTTACAAAATATCAAGTTAATAACCAACCTCTTTTTATAAGCCGAGAAGCAGAGCACACAATGGTTCCCATTTCCAATGTCATTTAAAATAAATCCTTTCCTACATGCTTTTCATACAAAATCTCTGCAAACTACCTTTAAATATACCTCTTCTGAAGTTTTTCAAAATGACCAAGTCAATTTCAAACTGCTCTCCTTTCCAAACCTAGACGCTTCCTATATTCTAATAGATAAAAGATAACTCAAAAATTTCTATGTTCAATATTAAATACTAGAAATGAGAATAGAGCTGAAAAACGATGATTAAAATAAATGTTCCACCTCACCTCTCATTTCTCTCTTTGTCCTTCTTACAATAAGGACTTCTCTTTCCAAAATCAATTTCCATAGTAAACACAATATTCACCTCAACCTCCAAAGTGAACTAAGCCAGTGATCTAACATGGTTACCTCTGCTTCACTATAAAAAGAAGTTTTTACTAGCTGCTTCATTTAGACATTTTATTATTAACACAGGCCCTGAACTTAAAGGCTCTTACCCTTGAAGAACCAAGCAAACTTTCCATAAATAGAAGACAGTAACGACATTTTATTCTTCAAAAAGCTTAAGCCTGTCACATTAGCTATCTTTATTATTCTAAATCTAACAAAGGAAACATAGAAAGGCAGAAATAATCCTTAGTATCCAACCAAAGTAACATATAATATTTTGAAAAACAGACTTTGGCAATACTATTTTTGTTTCGGATAGAAAGATGATCAAGACGTTGAACAGTATATTAATAGGTAACACTCAGACAGAAATTGTAAGGAGCTAATTTTTCAAACCAATTTAGCATTGGAATATTTTGGAATCTAAACCACTTTAAAATGATAGAGAAGTATATTCAAAAATAAGTTAATTAATACATTTCTTGAAAGTTTCCGAGACTTATTCTAAACTATTAACATACTTACTTTTTTCAGCTTCCAGATGTCAAAGGTTGTAGCCACATAATCTGCTATTCCTTTAAAAAGGTCTATATTAATATATTGGAGGTCCCTGCAAGACTGCAATATGTTGATCAATATTTTAAAAGGACACCCATGGATATTACCTTTAAGAATGAGTTAGACAAACAAAAATTACCAAATGTTTTGACTGTAAGATCTAAGATACTATATACCCAGCACTTTTCTTTAGAAAAACAGCACTGTATTTTGTAAAAACAAAAAACAATAACTATAGGCAAAAATAAACTTTAGATCTAACCATGTCATCAGATATTTTTTCATATAACAGCAAACAAATATAGTTCAGAACGGATCAGATGCTACAGACCATATAAGAAAAATTCCCCTTACTTGTGACTCTCTTACTGCACTCATTCAGAAGGATAACAGAACGGTAATTCATGGCGGCCAGTACCGCAAACATGTGCTGGCAATTCAAAACAGAAAATTGGTCTAATTCTTTCAAGGCTTTCATCTAAAGAAAAATAAACTTTAATTTATCATTTGTGGCAAAATAAATTAAAATCTTATATTGAAATAAAAAAGGATAAAGTTTGAGCAAAATGACTCAGACATATATAAATGTATGTAAATACATATACACATAAATATTTCTATCATTCCACTTAAGCAAATTTATACCCAAAAGCACAACAATGTCCTCCTAATGAACTGACTTTAGGAGATGATAGCAAATCACAGGAAAAATATATATATATATCTTTTTCAAATTTTATACAATAGTGAAAATTCAGAAAGTATTTACCTCCAATTTCCTTTTAAGACCAATTGGAGCATCTTTTCCAATACTTCTCATTATAGTTTGTAATGTGAAGACATGTTTTATTTTCCAAACTTGCTCATCAACTAGCATCCTGTCATCAAACACAACAAATACCACAGTCTTAGGATCTTAAAACCAGAAGAGAAATCTTAAAAGTCATTCAGCCCAGTTCCTACTTATAGGCAAGAAATATGAAGCCCAAATAAATGAAATATCTGCCCACGAGAGTGTAAACAGCTAATGAAAGCTCCAAGACCCGACTGGCATTCTTTTCTCTCACATTATTTTGCTATCTTTGTTCATAAACAAATACCAGGAGATTATATTAAGACATCCCAATGCATAGTCAATGAAAATGGGAATTGAAAGTTATTCTCATAAACCTATAAGATTAGGTGCGTCAATTTTACAAAAACTCAACCTCCTTTTCAAGCTGGGCTACTGTCACGTGACCTCCACATAGTACCCAAATAACCATTATGAACTGAGCATGTATCAGTTCTCCCCCAGCCCTTGTCAATACTATGTTTTAAGATAATTTTAATGTTATCCATACTTTTTTTATAGTGAATCCTGAAAGAAGCATTATTTCTAGCTTCACCTGTTCCAAAGTCAGAACTTTAAGTTTAACAAGCTATTAAAGACCAGCTTTCCTTATAGCTCAGATGGTAAAGAATCTGCCTACAATGCAGGAGACCTGGGTTCAATTCCCAGGTCAGGAAGATCCCCTGGAGAAGCAAATGGCAACCCACTCCAGTATCCTTGCCTAGAGAATCCCATGGACGGAGGAGCCTGGCAGGCTACAGTCCATGGGGTCGCAAGAGTCCGACACAACTTAGCAACCAAACTGCCACCACCACCAACAAAGTCTTTCATGCCCCTACTTAAAAAAAAAAAGTTCAACTTTCATCTTGGTTTTTGATTTGAGAAAAGAGAAAAAGAGAAAGCCATTTGAAGAAAGTGTAAGAGAGTTCTCACCGCATTCCTGCCAGAAGAACATCCACATTCTTGCATGGCTCCATTGTGTTTAAGATAGTTGACAAAACTGAAAGACATTTCTCATCACACTCATTGATACGTTCCTATTGAAATGTAATCACAAAAACACTATAGGTAATGAGTTCATAGTAGATGACCTCACCCAAGCAAAACCACTGAACTGATGCTTTCAACTAAAGGATTAAGTATCAAACCAATTATTCAGTCAGTCCACAATAAAAAGCAACTTTGGAAAACCAGAAGTTATAAGTAAGTGAACTTTTCAAATAATTGATACACATTCTTTTTGTATCAACAATTTCTTTACACTTTCAATTACCACTGAAAATGATTTGACATTGATTATATTCCTCCACTTCTGAAATAACTTTCATCAAGCATCATTTTTACCCCTTCTTGAGACTGAAGGCCATCATGGTGATGAGTGCAATAACAAGCTATAGGACAGTTTTCCCACCCCTGATGAATCTTACATTGCTGTGCTTACAATTTCCCTATATTCTTTCCTGAGTACCAAACTGCAACCTCAGTTGTGAACTTTCTAATTCACATCTGCTGTCACATTTTACCACCACTATCTGGATCTCAAGAGTTAACCCAGGCTCCCTGGATCGTTCTTTCAAACCCTTTGAATCAGGGTATTAATTTAGTTCCAGAAATGACCTAATTTAGAAAGTGAACAGTAATAGCACAGTTCACCTAGTGCTTGACAATTTAATCACAACTACTCTATACACCTAACAAGAGTACTTGTAATCACACCTGAAAGATGTATGCTCTTTTGCTAAAATTACATGACCAACAAGCCACAAAGCCTCAAGTCAGAACCAGATAATGATAAGAAATGGATACTGCTGGAAGGAAAAAAAGGTCTCATTCCCATGAGAGGGTTTCCATTATAGAATTCCATCAATATCTCCTGTAAAAGAAAAGACCACCTGGCTGTTTGAAGGGAAAGATTCATGGACAATATATTTCATACCTAGCTAAAAGGTCTCTGCAACATTCCCACGTTAGTGAGATACAATTATATGTACCGATAATCTGACCCCAAATACCCACTATTCATATCTCACCAATGCAGATACTATGATGATGGGAATACCTGTCCAAAATTCATTTAGAGAATCACTGACTAGGTAAAGTGACTTACTACAATTACTTTTAAGTAACTATATAGGGAACAGAGTCTACCAAAAAACACAGATATTCTGCAGTTTAAACAAACACACATAATACAAATTAGTTACTGGTTGAAAACATATGGAAATCACAGTAATGTTAAAAGTTAAAAACTCTCAAAGATCTAGAAACTCAATCCTTCAATTCTATAGTAAGATAAGATACATGTCAGATCATCCTCAGGAAATTCCTATCTTTAAAAAAAAATGACTTAATTATGATCATTGAGTTTCGAAGTCTGAAGAGCCCACTCTTAAGAGATAAACAATTACTTAAAGGAACTATTCTTTCCCTTGGCCAACCCGGTGTCATTTCAGTGACATCGAAGAGGACACTGACTCCTTTGTTTGAAACTAAAAGTGGTTTCCCCATCCAATTTCATTCTTCTCCCAATACATTTTCCACTCACAGAGTGATCTAAATACTAACTGGAGCAGCTTGACCTTTGCTTAAAATACTTCAGTGGATCCCCACTGCCTATACCATAAAGGCAAACTCCTTAGCCAGGCATAAAAGGCTCTCTCTGATTCAACCTCTTTTCCTCCCCAACCTCATGCCCTGTCATGACACCAACCCCTCCTCCTTGACAACCACAGGCACAATTTCCTACCAATTCCCTCAAACTCATAACCCCAATAATCTGTACTTCCAGCCACAGTGAACTACTTTCGGCTCCCCAAACTTTTCTCCAGGATTTGAACATACAGTCTTCTCTACTTGAAACACCATCTCTTGCACCCAGCCTAGACATCATCTCCTACTGGGCTTGAATTTTAGCTCTACTATAACAAGGTGTTTGTTCATTAAACCAGCAAATATTTATCAAATACCTACAAATGGTGACATTAACAAATATGTGGCCTTGGGCAAGCTATATAACCTCTCTAAGCCTAAATTTCCTAATAAGGAAGAAGAAAGTGACAATAACTACTTTTAAAAGCTACATTGAGAATTATATGAGACAATCCTCCTTTCAAACTCTGTACATATCACTGCTCCAAACAGTAATCTTGTATCCTTCTCCCCCATCACCTCTTCCCATCATGAAGGCATTCTCCCAAATAGGTTTGAAGCCCCTGGTTACACACTGTGTATATTCTTTTTTCATTGCACTAAAAGCTCTATGTGGCCCTTATTTTGTAATTGTACTCCCAATGATCAATGCTACAATATCATACTGCCTACAACCTTGTAAATGTATGAACGAATATTGGTTATTTTTGTAATTGGAGGGATTGGGGGCAGGAGGAGAAGGGGACAACAGAGGATGAGATGGCTGGATGGCATCACCGACTCGATGGACGTTTGAGTAAACGCCGGGAGTTGGTGATGGACAGGGAGGCCTGGCATGCTGCAGTTCATGGGATCGCAAAGAGTTGGACACAACTGAGCGACTGAACTGAACTGAACAAAGTATCTGTTATCCCTGCTATATTACAAGGGCAGGAATTATGTTTTCCATATCTTTACATCCCTAGTAACAAGTATAATAATTAATCCACAGTTGACAGCCAATGAACATTTAATGCATGAATAAATTCAGTAGTTGTGACTTTAGCCAAGTTGCTTAACATAACCAAATCTCTTTCTTCATCTGCTAGAGTAACACACCAACCTCACAGGGCTATTATGAAGATTAAACAGGACAACACAAGTAAAAGGTATAAGTAGTCAATAAATAGTAGCTCCCTTCCCTTCCCTTCTCTCCTCCTTTCAACTACCCAACCTGTTCTTGTATATTTTGTATCTCTTCCCACTTTAGCTTATTCACTATTACTCAACGCCGGAGAGGAAAAATGGAGCAAGTGTTCATAAACTTCTAAAGAAAAAGGAAGATCTTGCTAACTTAAGGTGTCTAAGCCATAGAATATTAGTATCTATGCAGAAACAAATGTAAACTACCATTCCAACGATAAGTTTCATTCAAGGAGGCTATATGTCTACTTCCTATCATTCTTTCAAGATTTGCTAAACCGAGTACATTTACACCTCCTTTTGATTTTACCTGGACCACCCTCAGCAAAGTCTGAACGAGCAGCGTGTTCTGAGGAATCCCAAGCTTCACTATAGCATGAAGACTAAACAGCAGGTTGTCGAAATACGTGATCTTGGCTTCTCTCATAACTTGTTCACACAGCTGGCTAAACGCAGGGTGGTTAAACATCAATTGTTTTTCAAAGCGCTTCTGGTCCTCGGACATCCGTTTGGCAACTGTCCACATGGCTGAGAAATAGTTACTACTAGGAAATGTAGGTGCTTTTGAAAATATATCTAACACATCACTCAGGGAATTACACTCCTCAGATAGTTTTCTACTATTGATCAGGGTTGGTTTTCTTCTCTTGGTGAGAACATCTTCATCAGAGGCCTCCTGATGAAAGCTTTTCTTCAGTTCATTATCAGAGGCAAGAAAGTGTTTTGAATCCAAGGACAGTCTTCTAGGACAAAGTAGTTTGTCAACTATAAAGACTGTTACTGTGCTTATGCCCTTTGTTTGACAGCCATCACCTCCTGATTTAAAAATTAAAGCATCCTGAAAGACATATCTAATAGATGATTGCATTTTATTATCAAAGATATTTAAGAGGTTTCTTCGGTTCCAGTTTGAATAAGCAATATTTGGCCTGCAAAATGCCAAAGGATACAGTCTCATAGTTCTGCATGTTGGAACTAAAGTACTGAGTTGTCTGAGGTTCCATAAAAAGGAAGCTGTTCTGTTATTCATCTTCTAATTATTGAAATACTTTCAAAAGACTTTAAAGTTATCAAGATGACACACACGTCGCCTTCTACATATGAAAAAAAACTCATGCCTGCTGTTGTTTTCCTGCAGGGGAAGGGGTTATAAGAGAAATAAAAATTAGAGTAAAATTTCTACTTAAAAATATAAAATCCATTTAAAAGAGACTAAAGTGGGCACCTAGGGAGACATTAAGATTTACCTTAGAAGGGTATCAAATACGGGCTTCTTCCACTTCTACTGCAATGTGTATACACAGTCTTAAAGCAGCAAGGTTACTTTGGAAGTAGTGGATGCATAAATAAGGCTTAAAAAGAAGAAGAAGTGGATCTCTGAGGGGGAAGTTTTCGTATAAAGCTTTCTTTGCAGTAAGAGATTTTACAGAGATGTCGGCAATAAAAATTAAGGGGTTAACCTTGATGGATACTTTTCAACCTGAGGATTTGGTGTTGGAGAAGACTCTTGAGAGTCCCTTGGACTGCAAGGAGATCCACCCAGTCCATCCTAAAGGAGATCAGTCCTGGGCGTTCATTGGAAGGACTGATGCTGAAGCTGAAACTCTAATACTTTGGCCACCTCATGCCAAGAGTTGACTCATTGGAAAAGACCCTGATGCTGGGAGGGATTGGGGACAGGAGAAGGAGAGGACAGAGGATGAGATGGCTGGATGGCATCACCGACTCGATGGACATGAGTTTGAGTGAACTCCGGGAGTTGGTGATGGACAGGGAGGCCTGGCGTGCTGCGATTCATGGGGTGGCAAAGAGTCGGACACGACTGAGCGACTGAACTGAACTGAAACACGAACTGTTAAAATATGAACTTGGACAAGCAGAACGGTTCAGGGGAGGAAGCAGCAAACTAAAGTGATGCTTGCACGTGATGCCTGAGTTTGGGATGGAGATGTAACCAGTCTCACCAGGTCTCAGAACCGGTGTGACAAGTCCGTGCTTCCGGAGCCGGACCTTTTAGTATGAACCCACCTCCCTCAACTTACTTCCCGGGCAACTTTCTCCGAAAGGCAGTAAGTCTAAAGCGTTGTACAAGCAACTGTTCCGCTTAAGTTCGTCGTCCACTCACCTTAGAGTAGATGCCTGTGATTGTAGATAGGCGCGGCCATGACAGTTTGGTCCCGAGCTGAGCGTATCGCGAGATTTTACGGATCCTTCATAGGTCAAAAAGGGTGTGTTCGCGGACGGTTGGAAATATTTAGAGTGAAGAAAGCCTAACGAAAAGAATAACTACTTTTTCTTAGCTGCGGGGAACAGGCACAACGGAGACCACAGAGCTTTTAATAGCAATGTATAACTCTGCACCCCAGCATCTCTCCAGCTGAGCGCCAGAGTCCGCGCTCAGCTTGAGAGTGCGCCTGCGCCAAATCTGAGCGGTGTGGTTACCTGGAAACGGTGGAGCCGCGGTCCCAGGCCCAGCGTCCCGGCTTCGACATGGCCAAATTCGTGCTCGCGGGTGAGTGATACACCCGTACTCCAGCCGATCCCTCAGAAGACCGACGACTGCTCACCTCGTGTAGCCGCTCCAGCTTCTATAGGGGCCACCCAGGCTTTATGATGCTTTCATTCAAAAATGTAAATTGAGCAGTCATTATATACAAACACTGCCGGAAGCAGGATACGGTGAAGGGAAAGACATCCTTGCCTTCGAGGTGCTTTTGGTGTCACTGGATCCTGTAGCACGTAAACAAATAATTTTGATGGTGCGGTTAATGCAATGAGGGAAATGTGCACAGGGCTCTGAGAGGTGTGACTTGAGCTGATTTATGAAAGTTTGGAATAGGGTATTCCAGATAAAGGGACAGAGGCTAGAAGTCCCTGGATATGGAGGAAGTGACTGGACATGGGTCAAATATGGGAGCAGGAGGGCAGGAATAGAAACACGGAGAGTACTGACTTGTGGACACAGTGAGGGGAGAGAGAGTGGGACACATTGAGAGGGTACCATTGAGGTATACACTAGGTAAAGTAAAGTGATTCTTGGTGAGGACCTAGATTGGGGATGGGTGGGTGGGGGGCGCTCAGGAGGGAGGGGATGTATGTATACCTAGAGCTGATTCATGTTGTACAGCAGCAATCAACACAACATTGCAAAAGAATCATCTTCCAATTAAAAATAAAAAATAATTTTTTTAAAGGCTTAAAAAAAAAAGAATGGGAGAAGGAGTCAGATCTTTGCCCTTCAGAGACACCAAGCAAAGTTATTTGAGCTGTATCTTGAAAACAAAGAGGAGTCATTTAAAATTTTTAAGCAGGCGGGTATCTTAATGAGTTTGCATTTTAGGAAATACACCTTGTCAGCAGTGGAGGAGAGGGATTGGAAATGTGGACTGATACCGAGAAAACCACCGAAGAGCATCTTACTGCAACAGGCTGTTGTACCTGTTTCCTTTCCTTCTCAGCAACTTTCTCGAGTAGACTGCTCATCTATCTCCAGGTCCTCAATCTGGCTTCTGCTGCTGCCTAAATCTGGTTTCTACTTCTGCCTCCTTTCCAAAACGGCCCTCACCAAAATCACCAATGACTTTTACAGGAGCTGTCTGTCATTGTCTTATTTGACCTCTTGGAAGCGTTAACACAGTTGACATCTCCCATCTGCCTGAAACCTATTTCCTTTGTTTCTTTTTTCATTCAGAAGAATATTTTTGAGCAATGACTGACTGTATGCTGGAAAGACAGTGGTAAACAAATGTGCAAAGAAGCATTTGTGGCAATGGCCAGGCTGGGTTCTATCGGAGCAGTAGCAGTGGCAGAGACTTCCCGGAAAAGGGTTTTTTTTTTTTCTTCTTTTTTTTTTTCTTTTATTTTTATTAGTTGGAGGCTAATTACTTTACATCATTGCAGTGGTTTTTGTCATACATTGAAATGAATTAGCCATGGATTTACATGTATTCCCCATCCCGGTCCCCCCTCCCACCTCCCTCTCCACCCGATCCCTCTGGGTCTTCCCAGTGCACCAGGCCCGAGCACTTGTCTCATGCACCCAACCTGGGCTGGTGATCTGAGAAAGGGATTTTTTAATCAGAGTCCTGAAAGATGAGCATAACCTGTCAGAGAGGAACTTATAAGGAGGAGAGTAAATTAGGCATGGATAGCTGGGAGCAGGGCTGGAATGAGGAGCACTAGTTGGGTAATGATGGAGAATATAAGCAGAAAATTGAAAGAGATTTAGTAGGGTTGAAGCATAGAGTACAAGGAAGGCACTATTATCAGTTGAGGCCAGAGTTAGATAATATATCAAAAGATTCTTGTGAGCCGTGTTCAGTATTTTAAACTTTACCCAAAGTACATGGAAGGCTTTTGAAAGGAGGTACATAATCAGTGCAAAATACATTGATTTTGTATTTTGTAAATACATAATCAATGCAAAATAGAAAAATGCAAATACATAATTTGCATTTTATCTGAGTGTTATCACTACAGTGTGAGAAGAAAAAGACTGGTTATCCAGAGCCCTGTTAGGTACTGTAGTCCGGGAAGGAGATACTGGTGGCCTGGCCTGGAATGGTGGGCAATGGAGTTGGAAAGAACTGAATGGACTGGGGAGATGTTAAGGAGACACAATCTGTAGAACTAGATATTTAACTGGATGGAGGAAGGAAGAGTTAAAATTCTTTTCTAGCAGTAGCTTGCATAACTGGGTAGATGGGAAGTCATTGATAAAAAGCAGAGCAGGCTTCACACTGTGAGTACTCCTAATACCCTTAAATAACCGGGTGTGTGCATGCTAAGTCACTTCAGTCATGTCCGACTCCATGCGACCCTGTGAACTGAAACCAGGCTCCTCTGTCCGTGGGATTCTCCAGGCAAGAATACTGGAGGGGGTTGCCATGCTCTCCTCCAGGGGATCTTCCCAACCCAAGGATTTAACCCATGTCTCCGGCATTGGCATGTGGGTTCTTTACTACTAGTACCACCTGGGAAGCCCAAATAACTGGGTAGATGGACGTAACATAAAAGAAGGAGCAGATATAATGGGAGAGTAGTGACAAAACTATGATAAACATGCTGAGTGCCTATGAGACATTCGGAAGGAGTTGAAAAAATACAAGAACATAAAAAGATAGATAAGGAAATAGTTCTAAACTGGAAATACAGATTTCTACTTGAAACCAAGAGAATGGAGGAGATTATACAGGAAGAATCATAGAGAATGAAGCTAAGATGCCCCGCAGAATGCTAATCTTTTAATGAATTGATAAATGAAAGGAACCTAAAAGTGTAATGAGGAGGGGCCAGAGAAGGAGGAAAAAAAACAACCTGAAGAATGCCCCCACCATTGTGGGTATTTCGAGTAGAAGGGAGACAAATGCTACCAAGGGTCAATAAGAAAAGCATCAAAAAGTATCCATTGGATTTAGTGACATTAAGGTCCTTGGTGACCTTCTAGAGAATTATACGAAAAGCCAGATTGCAGTGGAATGGGAAACAGAAGTGAGGAACTGGGGATGGCAAGTGTAAAGAACTGCTTCAAAAAGCTTTAATAGAAAAGAGCAGGTAGTAGGCAATAGCTAAAGGGAGTCATTGGCTTTTTATTTCTTAGGACAGGAGAAACTTAAATATAATGAGTATATTTAAATATGATGGAAACAGGCCATTAGAAGCAGAGCTAAGATGTTAGAGAGAGAACCAGTAGAAGAGGAAAGGGGTGGTATTCAGATCATAAGTGGTGAGATTAGACCTGGACCGAAGGTAGAACCCCTCTTTCATCAAATAGAAGAAAGAAGGTAAGAATGAGTCCAAACGCAGATAGGCTGATAGGTTTGATGGCAGGAGGTTGAGGGATTTCCCAGCTGATGCCTTTTTGTATGATTTGGTTTAGTTTGTGTAAAGCGGAAAGAATTTACTATTGTCTTCTGATATTGCAGAAAAATAGTGGAGGGAAGGAAATAGACAAAGTTTGTAACAGTAATTGTAGAGAACAGAAGAGAGTGCTGCTAAGGGAAACAGAGGGATCTCCAGAAAGTGTTGGGGGCCAACCGAGACTCTGTTCAGTTCAGTCGCTCAGTCTCTTCGACCCCATGGAATGCAGCAGGCCAGGCTTCCCTGTCCATCACCAACTCCCGGTACTTGCTCAAACTCATGTCCATGAGTTGGTGGTGCCAACTGAGACTGGTGACCATGAATTTATAATGACTCCTCTGCTTGGTCCTACCATGTTTATCCCGGGGTGCCAGTACTTGGAACTCAGGCACAGGAAAGGCAGATTATTGGGCTCATCCAGGGTGATGGGCCTTTACCAGGCTAGTTTGCCAGAGGCACAGTGAGGCAAGAGAATTTAAGACAAGAGCCAGAGAGTGGTCTGAATTAGTGAGCCTTGGATTTGAACTAGACAGGGAAGCTAATAGGAGGAGTTTGAGAGGAGTTGATGGCTTAGAAGTCACCAGAAGGTTGAAGAACTGGTGACTGGGAGTGACCAGGGAAGAAGGCCATAGAGAGGGTGCTGCTCTTGTCCTCTGCCCTAGACATCCATTCAGTCCCACCCACTTTAGTGGCTGTCACTTTCTCTATGTTGATGACTGCAAAATCTGTATCCTAGGGCATCACATGAGGCCCGCTCTTCAGATTTGAACAATGCAGCTGCCTGATGGTCATATCCACTCAGATATACCACAGACATTTACAACTGCACTTGCCTATAATTGAAACTTCACACCCACAATTTCTCTCTAGTAAGGTCAAGATCACCTCCCCACACCAAAAAGTTATCCCAGACTCTTCTCTCTCCCTCCACGTCCCCTTCCCACAGCATTCCTGCCACACATATCAGGTCCTCCAGTGATTTTACCACTCCTCACTTTACACTTTGCCTTTTCATAGCTACTAATTAGTCATTCATTATTAGTAGTTCATGCTTAATTAGTAACCTGGCAGTCTCTTAGAGGATCTGAGGTCTAAAAATAGAACTGGAGGAGAATAAATATTCATTAGTCTTTTTTTCCTTTCTACATTTTATTACTTATGATTCCGTTCTCCTATGAAATTAATTTTATTTTGCCAATATAATAAAAATCAAAAGTTTATGGAATGACAGTTTAAGTTATAACTCTATATAAATTACTTTGTGACTGGGTGATTAATTCCATAATTATATGACAAATGCTTAGAACTACATGATAATTTCCATGTGATGAAAGAAAATATTACTAATTTGAACTCTTTTAGGTAGAGCAGATTGCCCGTATTATGCAAAAGCAGAACTTCTGGCAGATTATTTACAAAAGAATCTTCCTGATTTCCGGATACATAAAATTACACAACATCCTGATGTTTGGGAGGTAAGAGGCCTTTATAGTTTGTTAAACTCACATACACATAAAAGTGTGCTCCAGTTTTATTAAATATTAGCTAGTGTATCAGATAGCTTTCCAGTATTGAATGTTCTTGTACTGTTGATATTTTGATACTAATAAATCCCTACTTCTCAGGATCAAAACATTATTCATATTTCTTCCTAGTGCCTGGTAGAACAAATGAGGCCCTAATCAGTAAGTAGAATAAATTTGGCTGTTCTTTTTCCTATAAGAATCCACGTAGCCTGTATGCACTCTTTAACTTTCAATTCTCCTTCATATTGATTTCTAATGGCATGAGGGACTTGTTTACTTGACATGACCTTCAGTTGAATTGAGGTGGAAATTTAGGTGAAGGAGTTTCCTTTACTGGGGAGTACTCTTGGGAACAGCATCCTGAGAAAGAATGAAGGCTGCAGGATTGTGCAGCTGGCCCTACAGGGAACTCGAAAGCTGGTATGACCCTTCAGAGATACCCCCCCAAATCCGCAAGGGGGCCAGGTTTCTATTCTCCGACAGCTAACAGTCACAGGATGTGGACTGCCCTGGAGAAGACACTTAACCTTAAGCAAAGGAACATTTTGGTTGAGGTCAATTTCCAGAGAGATGCTCAGCACTGGAACATCAGTAGTCAATATACCCGGTGGCAGAAGGCATGCATACCTTGGTCACGAAGGAGAAATAGGGACAACATGTGACAGGATTTGCTAGTTCAACAGTTGTGCCTTTGGGATCCACATGCTCCATATGGTAAGTTTCACACTATCTGGGGACAACTCTTCCAGAATTCTGGTTACCTTTATAAGAAATTGTTGTTGTTCAGTCGCTAAGTCATTTCTGACTCTTTTCGGCCCCAGGAACTGCAGCACAGCAGGCTCCCCTGTCCTTCACTGTCTCCCCGAGTTTGCTCAGACTTTTGTCCACTGAGTCGGTGATACCACCCAACCATCTCATCCTCTGTCGAAGTTAGTTAACGGACAGTAGTCTCACTGCACATCATTTCAGCCCCATAACTGACACTCCTCACGTTTCTGCTCTTCTATCCTTTGTGGAGCCCCCTCACCCTCTGCAGATCCGGGTGACTCAATAGGTGTGGTGACTTAGACCTGTATCCTTAGTGGCCCAAGCCCTCGTCTCAACTCCTTTTTCAGGATGTGACTGCTGTGCTTGTCCATTTGCCGACAAAACTGAGCAAGCTGCTACCCGGGTGTGCAGGTATCAGGCTCTAAGCTGGTGCCTGCACCTTCGGTGGGTTGTTCCATTCTTCTAACCACGCTGCTAGATGCTTCCATACATGACAGGGCCAGTGGACCCCCTGGCTACATGCTCAGAGCCATACATCCTTTCCTCTGCCGTGGGCTTCTTGATTCAAAGTGACGTTATGCAAGAACCATGTGGTAGGTTTAATTCAGTCACTCAGTCATGTCCCGACTCTGTGATCCCGTGGACTACAGCTCGCCAGGCTTCCCTGTCCATCACCAACTCCCAAAGCTTACCCAAATTCAGGTTAAACATTTTCAAAAGTGTTGAACAGGGTGCTGGCCAAAGTCTTATGAACAATAAACGCAATTCTCTACCCAGAATATATGTTGACTAAAATCGAGATGAATCACTTCTGTTTCCAGGGAAGAGGGATCCAACGTAATCAGTTTGCCACCAAGAGGCTGGTTGTAGTCTTCGGGGGCTAGCGCCATTAACAGGAAGTCAGCATTAGTGGCTGCACTCGCTCTGTGGAGTGATAACTTGTGTTCTTGGGCCATTGCGTAACTTTCTCATGCCTCCATTGTGCCTTCAGCTGTCTAAGTTTTCTTACTGCTGGGGTTGCTTAGTGGTTCTTTCACAGTAGACGGTCTCTGGTAGGCACTGCCCCCTGTCTTCTTTTATTTCAGAATTCTATCATCCAACTTCCTAGGGGGTCCAGCTCTTTGATAACAGCGTGACCTTTTACAGCCATGGCCTAGAAATGACAGCCACACAGGGCTTCTCAGTGATGCTGAGACCCTTCTCATGGGTGCATTCCTTGTCACTCTGGTGAATGTAGTGTCCTCCGGACCCTTCCAGAGGACACAGCGGACTAGTGAGTTTCCAGCCCTCCATTGTAACATACCCACTGTAACGAGCCCATTTTTTCCTAAGCATTTTCATCCCTTCTTCCATGATCTTTCATGACAGTTCTGGCATTTCCGTTTTATTTCACCCCTTCCTCAAAGCTTTGAAGAACAGTCCTAGCAACGTGTTTGCACACTCTTCTGAGGCCTTCGTCAGGGAGCACTCTTGAACAGAAGAGTGCCTCACTTTGATAAATTCTCTCATCCAGGTTTATGGTCCACTCCTGATTCAGCTCCCTCAGGGGCCAGTTCCATACATACTCTCCCAGCTCCTGCCAGGACACCCCCATACCCTGCTTGCTGCTGCAGGCCTTTGAGGTAGAGTCCCTTTCTTCCAGATTCCCAATACTTCACTGGTGAGCCTCGGTTGCAGCCGGAGGGACCATGGGGGAATCATCATCGTGAAAACGTCAACAAGGGAAATTCATTTCTAAGATGTGATTTGTAAGGTAGCTTCATTACACACACCTCCAAAGACAGGGATGTTGCCACAGGGTTTATCCCCATGGCAACGTTGCACTTTCTCTCTGCAGGTATTGTCATTGGAAGGCCTGGTGTGTGCAGACCAGATAATGATGAGTTAAGCTTTTTCTCAGTAAATATTATCAGAAATCCCCAGATAATTTTAGCTCATTAATTCAGTCTAAAAAATATAAACTATACTCACATATTTGGAAAGCAATATCAAATTTATATGGCCCTAAGACCAGAGACAGCTAATACAAAAGACCATTTGAGTCAGAAAATTTGGCTTCTACTTTAAGCTAAACACTTGTGCTTCAAGTCTGCTCAGGAAAGAGAGCAACTTTCAATACCTTTATTTGGTCAACGAATTTGAAGAATGCGCTTTCTTACTTGATTAATTTGTTATTCAACTCATCACTATTTCTATATTTGTATTTTACAGTTTAAAGATATCTAAATTTTATTATGTATACACAGAGGTCCAAAGTACTGAATTGAATTCCAAGGCAGATGCAATGTGTGACTTCTCATGGACAATATCATTCCATAGGAGTGGCTGAAAGATTTGTGCAAAAAGAATAGGTGGAGTCACAACAAGTCCCCTATCGTCTGGAGAGAGCTGTTGGATCGTGGAGGAAAGGGTTTGCTTTTGGGAGGATATAACGAGTTCCTAGAACATGCACAGGTATAAAAATTAAATTGACTTATCTGTCTGTAACATTTTTGCTCTATTATTGTATTTTTCAAGTGCCTTTCTTTATAAGGTAGTCTCTCGGCTCTCTTTTTACTCTATTTGGGCTTGAAACAAGAACTTTCCATTATAGCCATTGTCAGCTATCTTGTTGATTTTTTTCTTTCCCAATATTTAGCTTTACTATGGTGTCACCTCTAGCATGACGACTGAGCTGATGAAGAGAGTTGCTGAAGAAAACCTGGGGACACATATAGAAAAAGAGCTGGAGAAGGAATCCCTGAAAGGTCTTGTTATCCCCTTGCAGGTCTGGATCACCAGGTGGGACCATCAAATCCCAGGATTCATGAGACTGGCTTTTTATGTTTAGAAAGGAAAAATGATATGGAATTACTTACATGATAGAAGAATATCTGAATGTCAAGTTTGAGATTTTTATGTAGGTATAAGACTATTATAGATACACAGTATATGTATATGCATATATGTCACCTAATATAGCCCCATATATGAGTTCTAGAGCTTCCCTGGTGGTTCAATCCATAAAGAATCCGCCTGCAATGCAGGAGACCTGGGTTTGACCCCTGAGTCGGGAAGATCCCCTGGAGGAGGAAATGGCCACCCACTCCAGTATTCTTGCCTGGAGAATCCCATGGACAGAGAAGCCTGGTGGGCTACAGTCCATGGGGTTACACAGAGTGGGACACAATTCAGCGACTAAACCACCACCATGAGTTCTAGACTACATACAGTTTTAATGTGTGTGTGATATGCATGTAATACACGTACGTACTGAATCTAAGAGCAGTGTATAGCAAGGACATTTACTTTGCATGACTGCCTCCAGCCCCCCGCCCTCTCTCTGTGTGTCTCCCGCTGTCTGTCGTCGTGCCATCCTTCCCTTCCCCTTGCTTCCTTCCTCCCCGCCCCCGTCTTCCTGACTGCTGCCTTCTTCCTCTTCCACACGTGCCAGCGCCATCCTCGTCGTTGGGTCTTCCCGATGCCCTCATGCTCCACTACCTGCCCTCCTCGCTCCTGCCCCTTCTTTCTTTTTCTCTTTCTCACTTTCATCACCCTCGCTCTCAGTGCTGGGAGGGCACGTTCAATGTTTGTCGCTGCTTCTTCTCTCTTTCTCTGCGCTGTGTCTCTCTTTTCCTCTTTTGCTGTCCATCTTACTGGATCTCTCCCTCCCCCTTTCCTCACCTCTTAATCTGTCTCTCACACTGCCCTTCTTACTGCTTATGTGTGTATCCTAATATACAGGCTCATCTGAAAAATTATTTATTATGAAATATTCCAAATGCTAAAAGAACTGAAAGTGATGTAATAACCATACATGAACCAAACACCCAGATTTAATATTACATCTGCTTTAGGTATTTTTTTAAAGGATTAAAATGGTACAGATGCTCTTGAAAACCCCATTGCAGCTCTCTCCAAACCCAGTATGAAAATCAAAAGTGCCCAGATGTATTCCTGAAGTCCCTGCAGGGGTCACTAGGGCTCTCATTATCAGCCAAGCTATAGAGTACTCAAATACTGGCTAAATTGTGGCTAAATAGAAAAGAGCTGTGGTTAAATGGACTTCCCTGGTGGCTCAGTGGTAAAGAATCCACCTGCCAATGCAGGAGATGTGGGTTCATTTCCTGGGTCAGGAAGATCACCTGAAGAAGGAAATGGCAACCCACTGTAGTATTCTTGCTTGGAGAATTGCATGGACAAAGGAACCTGGTGGGCTACAGTCCATGGGGTTGCACAGAGTCAGATACAACTGAACGGCTAACACTTTCACACTTCCAAACATGAAATTACAGTAACATGACACAGTTCTTTTAAATTTTGCTTTCTGACTATTCTGTTTAATTGGAAAAGCCTTATAAATAAGTACACTTCTTACCTTGGGATTGTTTTCAGATAACCAAAACAAGAAGGTAACAGTGAGAAATTTTTTGTTTTACTTTTGATTCCTAGCCTTGAAAATATCTGTGCGGCTGTGTATGTCAATTTAAGATACTAATCAAGTATTAGTGCACATGCAAAAAAATACCTATTAAGAATAGAACCTGAAAAGGAGCCAAAGATTTAACCATTTATAATCTGGTTTTCCATTTTTATTAGTGCATCATCTCTTGCCTGCTACCATCTAATTCCCATCTTGACAAGTGGTGAAGTGTTTGGACCACAAATGGAAATCAGCATAAACCTATTTGACAATAAGCACACAGAAGAAATACTCATAAGCCACAAACAAGAGGCTGAGGACCTGGCGTCACCCTACCTCCAGAGTGTGTCCATCTGCACCCAAGCAGAGGAGGCCTTCCACGGGGCCCACGTGATCATCATCCTGGATGACCACGTGGACAAGGAGATATACAGTCTGGAAGACTGCATCCGCAGCAGAGCTTCTCTGTGTCAGCTCTACGGATCCTTGATTGAGAAAAATGCTTGCAAATTTGCCAGAATTATTGTGGGAGGGAAAACCTTTGTGAATCTCAAAACAGCTTTGCTTATGAAATATGCCCCAACCTTTGCCTGCAATATTATCGCTGTAGCCTTGGGTATGGAAGGCCAAGCGAAGGCAGCACTGGCCAGGAAACTGAAAATTACTCCCTCATGTGAGTGAACTCGAGTTTCCATGTTTGGTTTTTAACATATGTCACAGCAGCAGGTTCCAGGAAGAACCTGTCCCTTCTAAAATCAGTTAGGATATCTGGACTAGAAAGTATGGAGCAGATGCCAAGAATTTCTGATTGTGTGATTTCAACTCTGTGCAAACATTTTAATTGTTGTTGTCCAGTCACTCAGTTGTGACCAGCTCTTTTGTGACCCCATGAAATGCAGTCTTCTCTGTCCATCACAATCTCCTTGAGTTTGCTCAAACTCATGTCCATTGAGTCAGCGATGCCATCCAACCATCTCATCTTCTGTCACTCCCTTCTCCTCTTGTCCTCAATTTTTCCCAGCATCAGGGTCTTTTCCAATGAGTTAGCTCTTCCCATCAGGTGGTCAAAGTATTGGAGCTTCAGCTTCAGCATCAGTCCTTCCGGTGAATATTCAGGGTTGATTTCCTTTAGGATTGACTGGTTTGATTTCCTTAGTTTTTATGACTAGCTGATCTTTTAACATCATTATAAAAATTAAGAAACAAGTATTTAAATAATAAGATTCCTATTTTTCAAGTAATAATTTGAAAATATTCAGTTTTTTTCCCCGCATGAGAATAGTTATCTAAGGTCATCAGTGTTTTTTAAAACATATCAGGGCTCTGTTAAAATGGCCCCACCCCACTTCCCAGCTGTGTGACTTGGGGCAATCACTTAACCTTACTCTAATTTACTTCCTCACCTGTAAAATCAGGATGTGTGTACCACCTACCTCCTAGAATTGATGCCAAGACTCAAAGAGATAGCATTTCAAAAGGGCTTGGAGGAGTGCCTGGCACGTGGTAATGGTTTGTAAGGATAGTAAACTTGTTAAGATTATGCTATCTTATCAGTTTCTGTTCCTAGTAATGTTTGGGCTGGTAGACTCCATAATCATAAGAGAATGAGACAGAATCAGAAAATGTATTGTGTTTAAAGGGAGCACAGGAGAAGCAGAAAAGAAAAACAAATGGAGACCAGTTGGGACAAAGAAAGGGAAATGATAGAAGGGCAGCAGTTGAAGTGGAGTAGCAGGGAGGAAGTTGGCAATGACAGTTAAAGTGACATGAACTAGGTAAGCCTTCATGGAGAATCATTTCAGGAAAATTCCAGATGCCAAGAAGGTAGCAAATATTTTCAAAATTTTCCTTGAATTCAAGTCACACATAAACCTGTTTCTCAGACGTAGTGCATTGGGATGCTTACTTGGGACGTTTTCCATACAGTTCAGTTTAGTTCAGTCGCTCAGTCGTGTCTGACTCTTTGCGAACCTGTGACCTGCATCACACCAGGCCTCCCTGTCCATCACCAACTCTTGGGGTTTACTCAAACTCATGTCCATTGAGTTGGGGATGCCATCCAGCCATCTAATCCTGTGTCATCCCCTTCTCCTCCTGCCCTCAATCTTTCCCAGCATCAGGGTCTTTTCCAGTGAGTCAGCTCTTCGCATGAGGTGGCCAAAGTATTGGAGTTTCAGCTTCAACATCAGTCCTTCCAATGAATACCTAGGACTGATCTCCTTTAGGATGGACTGGTTGGATCTCCTTGCAGTCCAAGGGACTCTCAAGAGTCNTAGATGTTTTTCTGGAACTCTCTTGCTTTCTCTATGATCCATCAAATGTTGGCAATTTGATCTCTGCTTCCTCTGCCTTTTCTAAAACCAGTTTGAACAGCTGGAAGTTCACAGTTCATGTACTGTTGAAGCCTGGCTTGGAGAATTTTGAGTATTACTTTACTAGTGTGTGAGATGAGTGCAATTGTGTGGTAGTTTGAGCATTCTTTGGCATTGCCTTTCTTAGGGATTGGAATGGAAACTGACCTTTTCTAGTCCTGTGGCCACTGCTGAGATTTCCAAATTTGTTGGCATATTGAGTGCAGCACTTTCATAGCATCATCTTTTAGGATTTGAAATAGCTCCACTGGAATTCCATCACCTCCACTAGCTTTGTTCATAGTGATGCTTCCTAAGGCCCAGCTGACTCCACATTCCGGGATATCTGGCTCTAGGTGAGTGGTCATACCATCATGATTATCTGTGTCATGAGATCTTTTTTGTATAGTTCTGTGTGTTCTTGCCACCTCTTCTTAATATCTTCTTTTTCTGTTAGATCCATACCATTTCTGTCCTTTATTGTGCCCATCCCTGCATGAAATATTCCCTTGGTACCTCTAATTTTCTTGAGGAGATCTCTAGTCTTTCCCATTCTATTGTTTTCCTCTGTTGCTTTGCACTGATCACCGAGGAAGGCTTTCTTAGCTCTCCTTGCTATTCTTCGGAAGTCTGCATTCAAATGGGTATAACTTCCCTTTTCTCCTCTTCTTTTTGCTTCATACAAGTGACAGAAAGTCCACTCAAAGAGACAGAAGTCAGACAGAGGGTGTTTTCCCACATAAAAGTGCTGGGGTAGTTCTTATTTCAGGCATAGCCAGATGCTGGAATTCAAATGATGATGTCAATTAAATGATGATGTCAAGCCTGTGCTGTCACTTGGCTCATCACTCAGCTCTACTTTCCATAGCTTTGGGCTGATTCTCAGACTGACTTTCTCTAAAAAGTGGCAAAATGGCACCTGACATCATCGTTCAACAACCCCGTGGGGCAAAAAAAAAAAAAAAACTCTCTTAATTCTTTGTATAAAATCTAGCAGAATATTTTCTCATTGGCTATGCCTGGACCATGTGTTGTTCAGTCGCTAAGTTGTGTCTGACTCTTTGCAACCCCATGGACTATGGCACAGCAGGCTTCCCTGTCCCTCACCGTCTCCCAGAGCTTGCACAAGCTCATGTCCATTGAATCAGTGATGCTATCCAACCATCTCATCCTCTGCCACCCTCTTCTCCTTTTGCCTTCAATCTTGGACCATGTGCCCGTCTCCTGATCGGAGATGAGGAGATCTGTTCAACTCTTGTGATCAGAACAGGAGATCGGATCAACTGTTGTGATCAGAAATCTGGAATCTCGGTCTCATACCCATTGATAAACTTGAGGTATGAGAACAGCTTTACCCAAAACAAATGGGCTGAAATTGGGGAAGGTTACCTTAAAAAAAAACATGTATGCAGTTAAAGGAAAAAAAAAATAGAGATGTTAAGGGAAAAATAGCAGATGTCCACTATAATTTTCTCTAGCATAACTTAAGGCATTTAGAACCACAAAGGGCCTTAAAGCTTACAAGGAAAATTCTTTTTCCTACTGCCTGCCTTTGAGCGCAACTGTATGAGTGTGATAACTGAAACTGCTGGAGCCATTTTTGGACTATGAGGGGAAGGCCAAGACAATAACATCTTTGAGCTACTGAACAAACACCAGTGTCACTGCCTACCTCTACTTATTATTTGAGAAAAGTGAACTTCCAGTTAAGCTAAATCAGAAGGATACTCTGTTACTTGAAGCCGACAGCAAACTTAACTCATACAGAACAGGGAAGAATTCTATCACCATACTAGAAAATGGTGTGAAATTATAAGAAATTAAGTTTTTAAGCAAATAAGTTCATAAATAAATCAATAATGCCTTCTTTCACCTTGGATACATTTGTTTAAAAAAAAATCCACAATTATTAGAATTGTATTAAATGCCAGTTCCCATTTCTCTCTAACTGCATCCTCTTCTTTTTCTTCTAAGTACATATCATGTTTTTAGTAGTTATTTTCTCACTCACCCCCCTCCACCCCCAGAATACTGCAGGAATTTGGGCTGATTTGCTTTCTTCTGAGCCTCCCATCTAAAAGTACCTCCTACATACAAACTGATTCAGTAACCCTGTGGATTAAGATGTTCCTCAGAGGTCCTCTTATTTCAGCACCCCCATATCGCAGGAAATACAAGCCGTGCAGGGAGTCAAGTGACTGGCCCAAATTTTCATCTAGTCTAGAATCAAGGACTCACTGTCAGAGTCAAAGCAGAGAAAAAACAATCCTCTTCATGGCAAGCAGAGTGGTGAAGTAAGGACCACAGCAGGGGTTTCATTTTCAGTAGCAGTTTCACTCAGGGAGCATTTCAGTGTCTCCTGAATTCAGTCACATGCCCACGCCACCCACAGCCATTATTAGGAGTGGCCAAACCCTGGCGATTAAGGAGATGATCCACATCATTTACAGAGTTTTAGGGAGCATAAATTTGTCTGTTTTAAAAGGACCAGTTATAAAACAAGCACACAAACAGAAAGGCTGCAGGCCATTTTTTATGTTATATTATTTTTAAAATTTCTTCTCTTCACAGGCATCAAAGATGTGATCATTTGGGGTAATATTAGTGGAAATAACTACGTTGATCTGAGAAAAGCCAAGGTTTACAGATATGAGAGCGCTATTTGGGGACCTCCGCACTATTCACGCCCTGTTTTAAGCCTGCTTTTTGATAGGTATGGTATCTCTTTAAGTGATGTATTCCAACAAGGTTGAATAAACATATAATAATTGTTACAATCTTTTAAAAATCATCTTAGAAATCTTTGTACAAAAATAACCTGACATTGTTCATACTCAGCCTCATTTATGCTTTTTATTGAAGAAGCAAAGAAAATTCCACAGAATTTCAACTAGTCAGACCCCACCTCCAATTTATTTGATTTTGGAATCATGAATTTTTATATTTCAGATTATCCTTAAAGTGGTTCACATATTCCATTAATGTTATTGCTAAAGCAAACCTATGTAAAGTGCTTAATGCAAAGACAGAGATATGTGTTCAAATCAAAACTAGTTGAAACAAGCTTCAAGAATTAGAAATTCCGATGGTGAGCAGGTCCAGGCCAAGCTGGGTGCTCGGTCTCAGCAGAGACAGAATCGAGACGCACTAAGACGCACTGTCTCTGGAGCCCAGCCACCTGGGTTGGAATTCTCATCCAGTCACTTATTAGCTGTGTGGCTTTAGAGAAGTTACTTAGTGTCTCTGTGCCCCAGTTTTTCCATGTGCCAACTGGAAACAGTAACAGAGTACGGGCCTTACAGGGTTCCTGGAAAGACGGAATGGATTCAGACAGGCAAGGCCCTCAGAACTGTGCCCATCACAGTCAGCACCACCATCACAAAGAGAGTATGGGAGAAGTGGATGGAGGGACGCATTTGGAACTTTTTTCTAAACTTTGCAGTACTTTCCCAGTGGTAGCACATGCATTTCATCAGCCCTTTCTTCCCTTCCCTTCCTTCACCCATGCCTAGAATTTGTGTCCTTGGGCTCACATCTCCTGGAGCTGTTGTGCTGGCTCCGCAGGGACGGCCTTTTCATGATTGTTCTAGTCCAGCTGGACCATTCCCTGAGTTTTTAACCTTCAGATTCTAAAAACTTAATAATTTCTTACTTCCCAATATGAAGAAGTCAACATTTCATGATATTATTTTAATTAAAATGAAAGATACCCCTGGCTCCAAGATAACCTCTACGTAGAATACATTCTTTGTGATGAAATTGCTTCTGTGTTCATATTGATTTTATCATGGTTTTAGTTTGAAACTGTAGGACTCCTTTCTGCCCTGTCTCATTACTTTTCAGTTGACTCTTTGTGGGATTGAGGAAGTTTGAAGAGGGGTTCAGGAAGTCATATTTCTGTTTTGTGGAGGTGACTTCTTGTGTTTAGATGCACTGACCCAGGGAACATTCTTTTCCATTCCTAGTCCTTTCTCCATTGTAAAATCGTTTCCTTCTCTCCTCACAGGGAGTGGGTAAGCAGAGAGTTTGTGGCAAGTCTTAAAATGTTGGCTGCCACAGGAAGACGACTTGGAGGCATGCTGGTTGCACACAGTGTAGCCACTACGCTGAAATACTGGTGCCACGGCTCACCCCCGGGGGAGATTGTGTCTCTAGGGGTGTTGAGCGAAGGTAAATCTGGGTTTTTTCATGTCTTACGATGGTTAAAAACCTCAGTGTATGCCTTGTGCTCCTACTTTTGTGTCCTCACCTGTCTGCCTCTTTACAGGTTCTGTGAACTATCTGGATTTTCACGAATCCATAATCATGCATGCATGCATGCATGCATGCATTCCTTCACTCGTCCATTCAGCAATGCCACAGTAGTTTGTGTGTATGTGCTGGGAACACACACAGGGAGAAGGCCTGGCTTCTGCCTATTAGGAAACTCACAGCAGAGAAAAGGAGAGTCACATATGTCAATGAAATCATCCCATTGAGTTTTTGTCACTGTTTCCCAGCTGAGGAGGGGAAAGCAATGTCAGTTTTCAGTAGGCAGCAGGAAGATCAAGACAGGCATCAGAAAGGAGGGGACACTTCAGAAGTGTCACCTGCAAGTCTGAGTCACGTTTCCCTGACAGACAAGTATGGGAAAAACACCTGGGTGCCGGAGCCACAGGAGCAAAGACACAGACGCAAGATACAAAGGGCACCGCCCTTTGGGTACCAGGCAGCAACCGGGATGTGGAAAGCTTGCTCTCCATCTGCAAAAGATGTGTATATATTTTTATATCCTTACTATTTTAATCTGCTAAAAACTATACAAAGCACTTCTCTGTTTAAAATATAGGAAGGAAAGAATAGCTGATGCTCTACCTAGAGTGTAGACTCTACCTAGATTATCTCTTACCTTTTAGCTTTCCATTCTCCCTGGGCAAAGCCCATTCATTCCCAAAGCTCCAGGCCTGGGTCTCACTGCTGAGCCCTGCCCTGTCAAACGTTGCCACTTAGATGTCATGTTGTCACTTCAAACTGACGTACACCAAATTAAACCTATTGTCCTGCTCCCCAGTGTGACCCACCTCTTGTATCCTTTATATTATTAATGGAACTGTGATTCTTCCCATTGTTTCAGTGACTATGGTACAGCTCAAGGAAGTCTCCTCAAATCCTGCAAGTCAGAATACATGTCATCTCTCCTCTGTACTCACATAGCATGTGTTCCTCTATCGGAGAGGATATCACAGCCTGCCTTTATGGATGGGCTGTGAACTGCATATGTCCTCTCCATTAGAGTTCATCCACTCTGAGGGCAGGGCCTTGGCTGGGTCTTCTTGTTGCTCCTTCATGGGTAGACGCTCAAAGAGTCTTGTTCAATTAAAGTGAAAGTGCACGAACATCCCCATCATGTGAATTCAAACCACTATGTTACCTTTTTAGTGAAATAGGCATTTAAAACCTCACCTTTTTTTGGTAAAATGTTTAATTAGGAAGTCCCTGGTATAATTAGGGAAGTGGTTAGTACTCCGTGCTTCCATTGCAGGGGGCATGGGTTTGAACCCTGGTCAGGGAACAAAGATTCCAAAAAAAAAAAAAAATTAAGTTTAGTTCATCTCTATAGGAATTCATCAATAAGTGCTCAATGCTGGGGGCAAGTGAGGTGAGAAGCAAGTGATCCTTGTGTCCCTGAGATGGTACCAGGTGTATAAGCTCCCATCTGTTGTCTGCTTGTAAGGTTGGTTCCTTACAGACCAAACAGAGTGGACAGAGTGGGACATCCTCTACAGAAAAGTCTTCCAGATCCTGGTTTCCTGGTTTCTTGACTCCCCTCAATATTTTGCCCTAGTGACAACATTTATTTTCACTGAAGTATGGTTGATTTGCAATGTCGTGTTACATTCAGGTATGCAGTTCAGTGACTCATATACACACACACACACACACACACACACACACACACACATCCTTTTCAGATGCTTTTCCCATATAGATTATTACAGAATACTAAGCATAGTTCCCTATGCTATACAATAAGTCCTTGTTGGTTCCCTGTTGGTCATCTGTTTTACATATAGTCGTGTGTAAATGGGCTTCCTTGGTAGCTCAGCTAGTGAAGAATCTGCCTGCAATGCAGGAGACCCCAGTTCGATTCCTGGGTCAGGAAGATCCCCTGGAGAAGAGAGCGGCCACCCACTGCAGTATCCCTGGGCTTCCTTGGTGGCTCAGACAGTAAAGAATCCACCTGCAATGTGGGAGACCTAGGTTCGATCCCTGGATTGGGACGATCCCCTGGAGGAGGGTATGGCAACCCAGTGCAGTATTCTGGCCTGGAGAATCCCATGGACAGAGGAGCCTGGCGGGCTACAGTCCATGGGGTCACAAAGAGTCGGACACGACTGAGCGCAGCATAGCACAGTATGTATATGTCAATCCCATCCTCCTAATTCATCCCTCCCCTCTTTCCCTTTGGTGACCATGAGTTGTTTTCTATGTATGTGGGTCTACTTCTGTTTTGTAAATAAGTTCATTTGTATCCATTTTTTTAATATTTCACATATAAGTGATATCATATGGTATTTGTCTTACTTAGTATGATGATCTCTAGGTCCATCCGTATTACTCAAATGGCATTATTTCATTCTTTTTTATGGGTAAGTAGTATTTCATTATAATATGTTAACACATCTTCTTTATCCAGTCATCTGTCAATGGACGTTTAGGTTACTTTTCCATCTTGGCTATTGTAAATAGTACTATGAATTTTGGAATGCATATATCTTTTCAAATTAGAGTTTTCTCCACAAGCATGCCCAGGAGTGGGATTGCAGGATCATATGGTAACTTTATTTTTAGTTTTTTAAGGAACCTCCACACTGTTCTCCATAGTGACAACATTTTTGATGACTAGAATGGTGTGAATAATTTTCCTACTTGATTAAGGCACGAAAACAGGAGACATTTTATCTGAAGGTTGCTCAGTTAGTGATAAACATTATCAATCTTTTTATTTGGAGCACATTTAAACTGGGAACTGGAATTGTGAGAAAATCACAAGCTCTCCTTCCCAGTGCTCGCTCTTTGGCTCTGTGACTGCAGTCGTAGGTTGGAAGAGCAAAGGCCAAATTGGACAAGTGTCTGGGGCTCAGGGACCATCTAGAGGCCCAAGGAAAAGCTAGGGAGGCAGACCAGAGGAATCCAGATGAGGTGGGAGAGAAGGACCGCATTAGTCCCCGAGGCAGAGGCAGGCCATCTGAACCTAGCAGGGATGGAAGGGATAAAGAGGGAACAGCGGAAGTTTAGGGCCGTTATTATCATTAAAAACCATGTCATTAAAAACTGTGTCCTCTGCAGTATCACCAGGAAGCTTGCTTTATCTGAGTGCTTCTGTCTAGCTTTGCTTTGTGTTTGTTCCCTGCAGGCCAGTTTGGGATTCCTAAAGGGATTGTCTTTTCTATGCCTGTGAAATTTGAGAATGGAACTTGGGTGGTTCTTACAGATCTCAAAAATACAGAAATAAGTCAACAAGTAATGACCAGAATGGCAAGTGATCTAATTCAGGTAATGTCAGAATAGCCACAAGGAAACTGATTTTAATAATGGTCTTAAATGGATTCCCCTAGATCAAGGCATACACTGTTTTACTGTGGTTTCAATTTGCATCTTATTCCTAGGAACAACAGAAGGCCATAGAAGTTTGGAGAAATCCGCAGAAGAACACTACTTATTTGATTGTATAATTTCTAGTATGTTAAAGATAGTAGTTGGTTACTTAAATATCCAGAAACAAAGTGCGTTTCTAGTAAAGAATGGTTGGGTTAGTAATGTGGTCATTTAATTCTCTGATTACAGATTTTTTTTGCAAAATTTTTCCACAGGAGAAACTTGTTGCACTTGGAGAGTTGGCAAATTTCCAGCCGTATCAATCAGGTAATCTATTAGATGTGATATTTTATAGGGCTGCTATTAAAATAGTATTGAAACATGTGTTAAAATAAAATCACTAATATAAATAAATATCCATATTTCATCACTTTTCAGGTAAATTATTGACAAAATAAACTATAGGTTTAGTGTATCCTTTGAAATAACGTATCTGATAAGAATGCTACAGAAATCACACCTTTAAAAAGTTTTTTTCTTTTGCTTATTTATTTTTGGCTGTGCTGCGTCTTTGTGCTGCGTGTGGGCCGCTCTGTAGATGCGGTTTGGAGGCTTCTCGTTGCAGTGGCTCCTCTTGTTGTGGAGCACAGGCTCTCGGCTTGCAGGCTTCAGCGGTTGTGGCACATAAGCTCAGTAGTTATGTGGCACGGGCTTAGTTGCCTCACGGCATGTGGAATCTTCCTGGACCTGGGATCAAACCCGTGTCCCCTGCATCTGCAGGCAGATTGTCATCCACTGTGCCACCAAGGAAGTCCACGAAATCACATCTTAATGACACTATTCCCTTTTCCCTTATAAACTTTGTGTATTGTTGCTGTTCTTTGGTCACTAAGTCATGTCCGTGTGACCCCATGGACTATAGCCCACCAGGCTCCCCTGTCCATGGGATCTTACTTTGTAGTAAGTTCTGAAATATCAGAGAGTGCGGCCACGCCTGCACTTAGAATACAAATAACATTTGGAATAAAGATGACACTATACAGTATTCCAACAAAATTCTGAGTATTTCCATGATGACTTTATATGGAATATCAAATTATCTTCCCAAAGTTTTCCTGTTTCTCCAGTTTTTTTTGTATGGGTGTGTCTTGTTTGACTGGCACCCTAAGTGGGTGCTCTGATGATTTGGTCATTGGTATTGAACATGGGGACAGAAAATGGGTGCACTATTGTTACTCTGCTTGGCATTTGGGTTGGAAGCAAGTGAGGCAGTGAAGACGAGGGTAATTGAAAGAAAGCTGATGAAGTAATGGACTACAGGGGTCTCTATTGGATGAAGAAGATAGTAATAAATAGAAATAAAATTTAGAAAATCTAGACAGGGGTAGGGTAATATTGAAACTATTTAACAATCAGTGTGATACAGATTTCAACCAATTTAAGAAGTTGCTGCCCCTCAGAATGGATTAACTGGTAAAAAGAAGCTGGCAGGGTACAAAAGAGTGCCCTTGGTCATACCCAAGAAGGTTTAATGAGGTCAAAGTACCAGCAGTGCAAGGAAGGGTAGAGAGACCACGAGGAAAAGAGGTTATGCGCAGAGGGTAGCTTTTGAGAATTGAGACCCAGTTCTGGCTGGTGGTCAAGTCGCCAGGAGTGGGCCAGACCAAACAAAGCCTCAAGACAGCATGCAGGTGGGAGTGGGTACAGAAGTCCAATGAGGAGTTGGATTTACCTCAAACTCTTGCATGCTCAGAATGTAAGGCGCTCTTTTCCTGCCTGGCAGGCAAGAGTTGCAAACTCCTCTTATGATATTGACTGATAAGGCAGTCATTCTAAACTTGACTCCATTGACTAATTTGGTCCTAAATTTCCCATAACCCTTGCATTGTAGAAGGTTTTCTGAAAGAAAATGACCTGATTTTGTGCTGTGATTTTATTAACAAAAGTTAAGTCATATACATTTATGTGTTAGTCATTCAGTCATGTCTGACTCTTTGCAATTCCATGAACTGTAGCCCGCCAGACTTCTCCGTCTTTGGAATTCTCTAGGCAAGAATGCTGGAGTGGGTAACCATTCCCTTTCTCCAGGATCTTCTAACCTGGGTCTCCTGCATTGTAGGCAGATTCTTTACCGTCTGAGCCAACAGGGAAGCCCCCCCACACACACACACACGCACACGTGCGCACACACACACACACATATATATGTATGTGTGTTCATTCATTTGATCATGACTCTATCACCATTGGACCCTTGTACCTTGCCCAAAACACTGTTCCAGAGATTCTAAGATTAGAGCAATGAAAATAATCAGAACTTAGCAGATTGTGGAAATTTCTGCTTATTATCATATCAGTGAGATAATTCATGTATAAGATTTATTTAATCTTTTCAATTAATTTAATACTTAATTTCCCTACTTTTAGAAACTGACTTAAACCAAGAAGATGTAAATACCACCTTACCGACCAAAAATGACCATCAGGGACGTCGAAAAGTGTCAAATGGTAGGTATATCATTTGGAAAAAAGAAGTGTGCTTTTATGCAAGGCTTACCATGAAATTTCAGAGAAAGGATCATCTGTTAGCTATAAAATGGGAGTTAAATCTTTCATCTCCCTCATCCTATACTCAAAAATATCATTGTTAAAAATCTATTGAAATCTTTGAAGTAAAGTACCGGATATTCACTAAGTACCTTCTAGATGCTGGTCACTGTGAAAGACACTGGAGCCCATAGTAAGGCAGCTGTGGCCACACAAATGCAGGGAAAGGAGCCCTGGAGAATATGAAAAAGTAAACACCAAGATACACAGTGAATTAAAAAATTCAACAAAACAGGGCAAGATAGGACACAAAGGAACAAAGTAAGTAATCTAGAAACTCACAAGGAAAGAACAGATCCTTGTAATGTATGAAGGGGGAAATTTAATAATATTTCGAAATCTAGTTGAGACTTAAGATGGTAAAAATAATCAAATGGGCACTTATATATTTATTCAGGAACTGTGCTGGTTTAGTCATGCAAGATGAAAAAATTCTAGCAAACTGCCATGCCACGATGTACATATGTTTAACAGTTCTGTACTGTAGACTTAAAATTTTGTGGAAAGGGTAGATTCCATGTTATGTATTTTTATCACACACACACACACTGTGAGAGGTGCTAGGAATGTCAACATAGATCAGATATCTTCCTTGCCCGCAAAGTGCTCACCATCTAGTGTGGGAGACAGCAAAGCAGAGCAAAAACTGCCCTGCTGAGAGATAAGTGTTATGACCGAGAGGCCCAGGGTATAGGGGAACCACATAAAGAGCGTTAGGAAAGGGGCTTTCAAGAAGAGATAAGACGGGAACTGAGCCTCAAAGGAGGAGTAAGAATCACTCCTGTAATTTGGTGAAAAGGAGGCGTGCTAATGGAGGGGCAGGTAGGGAAGAGATTGTGAAAGGTGTCCCACCAGAAGGAAAAACAGGAGCAAAGCAGGCATGTCAGGGAGTCCAGGCAGGGCAAGAAGTGTGAAACTGTTCAATTCAGTTCAGTCACTCAGTCGTGTCCAACTCTTTGCGATCTCATGGACTGCAGCACACCAGGCCTCCCTGTCCATCACCAACTCCTGGAGTTTACTCAAACTCATGTCCATTGAGTCAGTGATGCCATCCAACCATCTCATCCTGTGTCATCCCCTTCTCCTCTCACCTTCAATCTTTCCCAAAATCAGGGTCTTTTCAAATGAGTCAGCTCTTCGCATCAGATGGCCAAAGTATTGGAGTTTCAGCTTCAGCATCAGTCCTTCCAATGAACATTCAGGACTGATTTCCTTTAGGATGGACTGGTTGGATCTCCTTGCAGTCCAAGAGACTCTCAAGAGTCTTCTCCAACCACAGTTCAAAAGCATCAATTCTTCAGCACTCAGCTTTCTTTATAGTCCAACTCTCACATCCGTATGTGACTACTGGAAAAACCATAGCCTTGACTATGGTCAAGGTCCTAATGGACCTTTGTTGACAAAGTAATGTCTCTGCTTTTTAATATGCTGTCTGGGTTGGTCATAACTTTTCTTCCAAGGAGTAAGCATATTTTAATTTCATGGCTGCAATCACCATCTGCACTGATTTTGGAACCCAAAAAATAAAATTTGCTACTTTTCCACTGTCTCCCCATCTATTTGCCATGAAGTGATGGGACCAGATGCCATGATCTTAGTTTTCTTCATGTTGAGCTTTAAGCCAACTTTTTTACTCTCCTCTTTCACTTTCATCAAGAGACTCTTTAGTTCTTCACTTTCTGCCATAAGGGTGGTGTCATCTGCATATCTGAGGTTATTGATATTTCTCCCGGAAACCTTGATTCCAGCTTGTGCTTCATCCAGCCCAGTGTTTTCTCATGAGGTACTCTGCGTATCAGTTAAATAAGCAGGGTGACAATATACAGCCTTGACGTACTCCTTTTCCTATTGGGAACCAGTCTGTTATTCCATGTCCAGTTCTAACTGTTGCTTCCTGACCTGCATACAGATTTCTCAAGAGGCAGGTCAGGTGGTCTGGTATTCCCATCTCTTTCAGAATTTTCCAGTTTATTGTGATGCACACAGTCAAAGCATCAAATTGATGCTTTGGCAGCATCAAATTGTGTTCAGATAATAAGCAGGGTAGCTGGGACAGAGCAGGGAATCCAGAAAGGATGGAGAGAGCTGAAAGAGATAGGTAGAGGCCATCAACTGTTCGGCTGAATAGTTGATGGAAGGCTCCACAACATGCCTGGTGGGTGGCTGGATAAAGCATGAAATGGATAGGGGCAGACTTGATGAACGAATCTAGCTTCCTCTAGAGGTTGGTCGAGCTGACCAAATCACTGTCCAGAGGAGCATGGCAAATTCAGTTCCACTCAGAATATGTATCTTAAGAGGTCCAGTTAGACCAGTGTGTCTAGGTATCTGGGTAACAGTCAACCCAGCTGGTGATAAGCAATGCCCATGGAAAGCAGGAGCCCACTGGGGCCCCTGTGGTAGGATCGAGCAAACACTATAAGGTCTGTCACGAAGGGGATGACTGGGAGCTTCCCAGGACAGAGGAGGAAAAGCCAAATTGTGGAGTCTTTGTACCAGAACCATATAAGTTGTTCATTAAAATTTTAGGCTCTTAGGCTTAACTAATTCATAAAAAATTTTAGTGATGGTTAAGTGGGAAAAATGGGGTTGAATTTGGGTTGTTATGGGGCTATTTGTTTAATGAGCACTGGAATCAATTAATAACAGTATGGTACTTTCCATATCGAAAGGTAAACTGTGAAAAAATTTAGTAGGTATGAAGTGGATATAAAAACTAGCATTTTCCTTGAGCTAGAATAAAATAGATAATAAAAGGTAAGTAAGAAGAGCAGAAACTAAATATTCTATTTAGTTTATTTTTCCAGTAAACTAAATAGAATATTAATAGAAAGAAAAAGGTATGTAGAAAAGAGAAGGGTAAGAATAAATTAGAAAAGGGTATTTTCTCGTGTAACTTTTTGTTTCATTGCTTGCAGACAAGTGCAGGTGTTGATATAGAATGTTAAAAAAAAATTTATAATGGGTAATGGTCAACAAAGTTTGAAAAGCACTCACATAGAACATCTCGTGGGCTGTTAGTTATGTTCTAAACCCACCATGTTTCATCTAATTTTGTTTCAGACTATAAAGATTTGTTTACTGGTCTAATGCCAGATGATGAAAAAGATCTAATTTTGTCAGATGGTGAGTCTGTCGAGTGATAAACAATCTCCGCAGTGCTGATGACCATGACAGACATCGTCCAGTCTTAGAGAATGACCTTGCGGTCAGAAAACACAGTCCAGCAACTGAAGTAATTTTGAAATAACTCTTTCTCATACTCATAGATGCTTTGAAGGAGAGATAATAAAAGATGGAAGGAAATTTTATTTTAAAACCAAAATTGCTTCCATGTCGTAACCACCTCATCTTTCCTCAAATACTCTTAATTTCAGCTTCAGATCCCATGTCTCATTCTTCTCAATTCCTCATTACAAAACTCAAAATGGCTGTCAGGATCCTTCTCAGAATGTGGGTGAAAGGAAGACCCTGATGAACCCTCTCACCTTTTCTTCTCAATTCCTCGTTACAAAATTCAAAATGGCTGTCAGGACCCTTCTCAGAATGTGGGTGAAAGGAAGACCCTGACAAGCCCAAGTGAGAAGTCTCTTTAACAGGGGAAATCTGGGAAATTTTTATACATACTTACATATATGTATCTTGTATATACTTGCATAGAGGCTTACATATTTTAAAAATATGCCTAAGGAGTTGTATATCCAGAAGATAATAATCTATTCTGTTTCCATCTTGACTACTTCTTCACTTAAAACTGTACAGGAGGGAGCCGGCACATGCTGAAACGTTGCCAGTGACCAAAGCTTCACAGGGAGGTTGGTAGACACTTCACAGAGCAGTTTGGCTAGAGACCCGCTTGCCCCTGACAGTGGCTTATCCATGACACCATATAAAAGTGATCTGGAATCCCGTGTGTAAAACAGATAGCTAGCGGGAGGCTGCTGTCTAGCACAGGGAGGTGAGTTCAGTGTTAGGTGATGATCTAGGGGGATGAGGTGGGGAGGCTGGCTTGAGAGGGAGGGGATATACGTATATACATAGCTGATCTAACACAGTAGAAATTAACACAACATTGTTAAGCAATTATATTCCAATAACAAACAATAAACTGACCTGACATCTTGCAGCTTTCAAAGAGGGCAAGGCATTCTGAGAACCTTGGAGTAGAAGGAAAAAGATAGGGAAAAATGAGAATAATAGCAAAAATCAATATACTTTAAATGCTAAAAATGCCATTCTTCTAATTGTCTATTTACTGCATTGGATTTTTTAGATTCCTCAAACTGGCTCTGAAAAGCCACAAAGTCAAGAATGCACAAATGGTAGGTGGTAGACAGACATTTACATTAAAAAGCAATCTTTTCTGTTATAAATAAGCTGGGTAGAAGAGCTCAAGTGTCCCTGTGATACATGATCCCACATCCCTAGGAACTCAGCCTTGTTTGCTGACTCTCTGGAGCCTAGCTTCCTACTTTAAAAACCAGGGTGATGACAGTGACAACGGAACCCTTCCCTCGGAATGAAGAAGTAAGGAAGTAGACACAAATACGTCTGCAGATCCAGATTCTCAAGGTTTGTAACTGAGTTGTTAACAATATTTTACGCAAACAAGGCAGATGTAGATTTCTTTGTGGTTAGCCAACTCAGGATATTCACACATGGCCTCACATGTATGCATGTGTACTCAGTTGTGTCTGACTCTGTGACCCCATGGCCCCGCCAGGCTCCTCTGTCCATGGAATTTTCCAGGCAAGAATACTGGAGTGGATTTCCATTTCCTTCTCCAGGGGACCTTCCTGACCCAGGGATTGAACCCACATCTCTTGTGCCTCCTGCATTGGCAGGCAGGTTCTTTTCTAGCTGAAAATGTTAGAAAAGGGAAATGTTAGCACTTTTATTTGTATATCCAATAAGATGAACAGATCCATTGTGCCTTCCATTCTGAAAACGTGCAGTGTGGTAGGCTTTGGAGTGGGGCTGGCCATGGGGATTTAGAATTGGTGCATAGAGGAAAAGCAGGACCAAAAGAGGAAATGAAACTGACAATATAGCCACAAGCAAAATTCAGAATAAGAAACAAAGGAGCCGAGAGGGACTGCACGTAGAAATAGACTAAAGTCAGGAAAAGTGGTCAGAGTTTAGTTTTGCTACGTGAAGATATCTAATGATGATCAGTGGTTTGATTTCCTTCACAGGGTCCCTCTCACACATGCAGTTCCTCGGCTGTTGAATCAGCTTGAGTATAGGAATCCAATAAAGGGAAGGGACAGGGGAGCCAAAGAAAAGCCAATGAAAACATGTTGACCAATGTATTTTTAAAACAGTTACATCCTTTCAGGCATCCCCTGGTCAGTCAGTAAAGAGTCTGCCTGCAATGCAGGAGACCTGGGTTCAATCCCTAGGTCAGGAAGATCCCCTGGAGGAGGAAATGGCAACCCACTCCAGTATTCTTGCCTGGAGAATCCCATGGACCGAGGAGCCTGCTGGGCTACAGTCCATGGGATCACAATGAGTCGGACACAGTGAGAGACTAACACTTTGACTTTCATATCCTTCCATTACCTTCCTTTCACAGATTCTGAAGGCAAGGCTATGGAACAGTAACAGATCAAATCAGGCCAATTATAAGATTATTTGGTAGAATAATAAATATGGAAAGACCATCAATATCTATATTTTGTTGTTGTGTAGTCGTCAAGTCCTGTCCAACTCTTTCCGACCCCATGGACTGTAGCCCACCAGGCTCCTCTGTCGATGGCATTTTCCAGGCAAGAATTCTGGAGTGAGTTGTCATTTCCTTCTCCAGGGAATCTTCCTGGCCCAGGGATCAAACCCATGTCTCCTGCATCGGCAGGCAGGTTCTTCACCACTGAAGCACCAGGAAAGCCTGAATATCTATATTCAGGGAGGAATAATTTGAAAGATTTGCTTCAGTCTTTAGCTAATATTATGCTAGACAGTTCAGTATCAGTGACAGCACACACACAGAGTCAGTTCAATCATTTTGTATTACCTGGACCCATTGATATGTTTGCTTATTGCTGTCTCTGCTCTGCCCAGTCACTTCAATTGTGTCTGACTCTTTATGACCCCATGGACTGTAGCCTGCCAAGCTCCTCTGTCTGTGGGATTTTCCTGGAAGGATACTGGAGTGGATTGCCATTTCTGTACTTTCTCCAAATAATTTGGTACCAACTGCTGTTTTTTGAACTACACTAAAATAGAATTGTCAGTCATTGCATCCTTGCTTATACAGCCTTCTGAAAGAACCTGTTCCTCCCACAGACCAACCCTAAGACATGGGCCTAGGTGGCCATGTTTGCTCAAATGTTCTTACCACATCAGTCTCCCAAATGGACACACCTGACTCAGGAAGAAACAATCAGAGCTTTCTCTTGCTCTCTCAAGAAATTTGAACTCAGCAAAATGGATGAGTAGGTTGGTGTCTGAGTGATAGCAATAGTAGTGAACAAAAGGAGGCCACGAGGTTGTGTCTGTGAGGTCTTTAGATCTGGTCAGCTTCACTACCTTCATAAGGCTCAGCTGGGCATTGTTTTTCCTTGGTATAAGTATCATTATAACAAACCACACTTTTAGTCTAGATTGAATAGATTCTGTTTCTTGACACCACATGAAGCCAGGGTAAACTGCATTTGAAAGAAAAGCACCATGTTACACCTGGGCTTCCCAGGTGACACTAGTGGTAAAGAACCCACCTGCCAATGCAGGAGACCAAAGAGATACGGGTTCAAACCCTGAATTAGGAAGACCCCTGGAGGAAGACCCCATGGCAACCCACTCCAGTATTCTTGCCTGGAGAATCCCCATGGACAGAGGAACATGGTGGGCTACAGTCCACAGACTCGCAGAGTTGGACACGACTGAAGTGGTTTAGCGCACATGCATACCTTATAATTCTATGGTTTAAGAAAAATTACAGTCTTTTATTAAAGTAGTAGTAGTCATGCCAGTCTGCTCAGATAGTTCAAGCTTTTATTGTTATTGCTTAGTTGCTTAGTGTCCGACTCTTTTGCGATTTCATGGAGTGTGGCCCACAAGGCTTCTCTGTCCATGAGATTCCCAGGCAAGAATGTTGGAGTGGGTTGCCATTTCCTTCTCCAGGGGATTTTCCCAACCCATTGATTTAACTTGCATCTCCTGTGTCCCCTTCGCTGACAGGAGGATTCTTTAAGTTTTGAATGACCAAGAGTCATGTTAAAAATTGCTGATACTTGTGCTTTCTCTGTAGTTTTAAATGGTGCTTAAGGTACAAATGACTTTCTGAAAATTCAGGGAGATTTCAGATACTTCGATGCTTCTGTCCTGTCATAATAAAACGTGTGATTTTAAAACCATGGCTAATTTTGGCTTTTTTTTTTTTTTTAAGTCAGCATCTCATTTATAGTGAAGAAAACTTAATGTTAAGGACTTCAAGTAAGGTCTTGTGCCCTAATCCTACCACTTCCCCTGCCTCTTCTCGTGGGGTTCTCAACCAAAGCAGTGAGACCACCAAGGACAGTAATTGGGGGAGAACTTGCCTGTCCTCAGCACACAGTGAGGCATGTGAGAGTTGGCCCTCAACATGCAGGGCTTCTTCATGGTAAAACTGAACTAGATTGGAACGTGTAACTCAGACTAAGAAACTGAAGCAAAGCGTCCTGTTCCATTCCCCTGGAGTCACTTTTGCCCATCAGTTATCAGCCAGAACTAGAAGGGAAAGTCAGTGAATACAACCATGGACACATGCCACCTTTCAAGCCAGTGGCCCTGCCCTTTAGTGAGAGTCTACCCAGTGGGTGTCAAGCGCTGACTGATCAGATGATCAGCTGCTTCTCCAATAGGTGGACATCTAGGAAGGGGTGAGAGAGAGCCACGGGCAGAGCTTCTCTCTGGGGACACTGTAGGAAACATGCAGCCCCATCTCCAGCAGGCTGTATTTCCCAGTATGAATCAGAACTATCACCCGTTTGAACCACTGTGGGGTGACGGGATGCTCTACGATAAACGCCCATCGGAGAAGAGAACAAAGTGATTTTAACCACTATACCTACTACCATACATCTGTTCAAAATTAATATAAGATACAGCATTATGGGAGGAGGAAAGTATTTGTGTCTGCTGTTGGTTTAAAAGTAATGATTGTGCCATTTCAAAACTAATATCTTTCAGAGAATTACTATTTTGTTGTGTTTGTTTTTCAACTGCTGCACTGGTTCTCACAGTAGCTTATTACATGTAATGAACCATCTTGGAAAATTCTCAAGTCTGGTCTTCCCATTAGGAGTCACTTTAATATTTATATATATATATATATATATAAACTGGTTA